GAGCGCGACGATGCGGGCGCGAGGGGCCTGGGGCACCGTCGCCGGCCCGCTGCGGGCCCTCTGCGTCCTGAGCTGCTTGTTGCCCCGCGCTGCCGCCGCGCCGTCGCCCATCATCAAGTTCCCCGGCGATGTCGCTCCCAAAACGGACAAAGAACTGGCGGTGGTGAGTTGCCGTGCTGGCCTCCGGGAGCCAAGTAGCGGCAAACTTCAGAGGCAAAGGCCGGTGGCCCCGCGTCTCCCAGTAATGGGTGGGGTGGGGTGGGGGGTCTCGGCAAACGGACTGAGGCGTCTTTAGCAAACGGGTGGGGGGCTCATTTGTAAACGGAGGGGGCTTTGGTAAGTGGAGAAGGCCTTTGGCAAACAATTTGTCCACTTTCAGACACATCCAAGCTGCTGAGGCGGGAGAGAAGGTGCTTGCAAATGTCTGGGGAGGGCTCTCTTTTGTAAGTAACGGGGACTTTGTGTAGATCTGGAGGACTTGGTAAGGGGGCGGGCTTTGTACAGGACTTTGGGACACATCTGGAGAGCTCGCCACTGCCCTTCGGCCAGCGCCCTGGTAAAGCCCTTGGCGGCAGCTGGAGGGGTCTCTTCTGCGACTTTGGGAAAGGAATACTTTAGCACCTCACTTGGATAAACTTTTGCACAGACGAGGGTGGCCAGAGTGCGGCTTGGCAAGCTTCTGGGAGTCTCTGCAGCACATTTGGAAAGGGCCTTAGGTAAACATCTCCGGGGGACTTTTGCAAATAATCGGACAGTAAGGAAGCAGAGGGCAGCTTTTTCTCCTGTCTTTACGCACAAGTTGGCTTTACATTGGCCCCCGGAGGGTCAAAGGTTGAGCCTCGGAAAGTTTCCTCGAGCCCTCCAAGAGGAGGCCGCCACAGAGGACTGGCCAGGAGAGCTAGCACGCACAGGGAGGGGCGGCTGCTGCTGGGCCTGGGCGCGTGGGGCGGAGGCCGACTGCACTGCTGAGGTCCAAAGGCTGCCAGCTAGCCCACCCTCCTGGCGGGGCTCAGAGCTGGTCTCAGATGTTTTGAGAATGAACATGCGCCTGGCCCCTGAGGCACCACCGCCGCAGCGTTACATAAGCAGAGCGAGGGGCACACAGCTGCATGCGTTGCCCCCCACCCTGTAGGTACCTGGGCTGGGGATCATTCAAGGACCACAGGACATTTGTCCCCTCGCTGACTCAGCCATCCCAGAGGTGCCCCTTCTTTCAGCAACCTTCTCCCCAACCTGTCTAAAACAGGAATCCTGTGTCTCCAGGTCACCCTGGGCCCTCCCTCAAGATGTGACCCCAGTTCTTCAGCACCTGCACTTTTACAGCTTCTGTCCCTTCCGGGTACATGGGTGGAGGGATCTCTCTAAAGTTTTAGGGATCTGTATGTTTCAAGGGCTTGGACCTGGCTGGCATAATGATGTGCCTTTTGGCTAGTGATGAAAGTAGAATTTTAGAGTGTGATAAAACTACATGGGTCCCCAACCCTTCTACGGACAGTGGAAGTCCATGTAGTGCAGAGCGAGACTGTGAAGCCTTAAGAAAAGAGCCTCTGCTGGGCATGTTGAGGCACACTTGTAATTCTAGTACTCTGGGAGGCTGAAGCAAGAGGATAGCAAGTTAGAACCCAGCCTGGGGAACTTAGCAACTTAATGAGACCCCGTCTCAAAATGAATAAAATAATATATAAAGGGGTAAAGATGTAACTCAGTGCCTAGTACCATAACTCCTAGTATCATAAAACCAAATAAATAGAAGAAGAGGGGCTGTGACTTAGGCTGACTCCCTGGTTTCCAAGGAGTGCACCGAATGACTGCTAATCTTGGACAATGGACTTACTTCTAGAATTCCAGTTTCTTCACTTGCAAACTGAGGGAAACAGTGGCAGCTATCTCAGGGTTAGAGAGGTAATCTTGGACACTTGGAAGGGTACCTGGCCTTGGTAAGCATTCAATAAGTGTTAGCCATTGCGTTCACTGTGTTACCGTCACACCCTCTTTTTCCTCTCTCCTTACTCCCCCAATGAGTTGTAGAGCCACTGTCAGTGGATCTCCTGGCTTCCTTTGCCATTCCAACATAGCCTCAATTGCTTATTTAATTTTGCATTTGTTTGTGACCCATTGGCCTCCCTGCACTGCAGTTTGAACCATAGAGACTAGAAGTGTCTGCCTTGTTCACCAGTTTACCCCAGCAATTGCACAGGAATTGGCACATGGAAGGTATCAAAATGCATTCCTTGAATAAATGAATGAAGTGGTTGATCCCCAAATCTCTGCAGGGAGCTGCTGGATTTTGGCTCCTGTTTAGGCAAGAACCTTGGAAGGAAAGGACCATTTCATCATTGGAGATGGCAGATTGAGGACCCGAATCCAGGTTCTATCTGTTGCCAGAGACCGTACACAAAGCAATTGAATCTCCATATGAGTAAAAAAGGAGAAAATTCATCCCTAAGTCATCAGCTATTTGGTAGCTCAGTGGGACGATGGAGATAAAGGAAGAGAGCAGGAACATTTATGGTTCCAGTGTGGACTCTGGAGCCAGATTCCTTAGTCCCAAATCCAGTCTGCTGTTGGTGAGCTGTGATCCTAGGCAAGTTGCTTACTTTCTCTGCTTTATTTTCTTCCTCTGTATGATGAGGCTAATAATGTCTCTATTAAGGGGTTGTTGTGAGCATTAAATGTGGTAATATATACTGACTTCAGTGCAGGGCATGTGGTAAGCACTTGGAACCAATCAGGGCATATGCCTCCTGCAGCTGTGTGACAGAGCTGGCTTAGCACCACTGCTCATGGGCTCTGGATTCCTTTCTGGGTAGGGCCTGGACTGGCGAGCAGTTGCTGCAGGCTGCTTTGGTCAGTGCTCTGTTATCTTGACATGGCTCCTTGCCGGGGCTGCTCTTTCCCTCCAGCAATATCTGAACACCTTCTATGGCTGCCCCAAGGATAGTTGCAACCTGTTTGTGCTGAAAGACACCCTCAAGAAGATGCAGAAGTTCTTCGGGCTGCCCGAGACAGGTGAACTTGACCAGAATACCATCGAGACCATGCGGAAGCCACGCTGCGGCAACCCAGATGTGGCCAATTACAACTTTTTCCCCCGCAAGCCCAAGTGGGACAAGAACCAGATCTCATACAGGTGCCAAGGCAGGGCCGGGGAGGCAGGGCCCCTGGGCTAAGGGACACTGAGCCTGCTTGCATCTGCCTTTTCCCCACTCAGGGGACCCATGTCAGTAGTGAGGGTTGGGGTGTCCTAGGGAGACTGCATACAGAGTTCTTGGCAGATAGATTCAGATAGACTTGGATTCGAGCCTCACACTCACTAGTCATGGCGCATTGGCCTTTGTGCCTTTCAGTGCTTTGAGCATGGCCTTCCAATCTACAAAACTGGGCTAAAAACACCTTTCCTCCCAGCCTTGGCTGGGAACTTAGGTAATCCACACACAAACAAAGGGCTTCCATGGTGTCTGGCACATGGCAAGAGTGTAATAAGAATTGGCCATCATCACCATTATTATTATCAGTAGATGTGTCATTGGGGCAGGCTGAGGAAGCTTGATGATTGACTGCTAATTGGGTTTTCATCTTACCGAGTTGTTTTAATTGGTTGCTAACTGGATAAGAGTTATGCTTTGTGGGGATGAAGTCTCTTCCCTGTGTCCCATAATGCAGTCTTCATGTCCTTGCCTACCCTTACACCTGATGGAAGTCAGAGATGAAACTCTTATGATGGAACCTGAAAAGGCTGGCTGATTTGTCACCCCATGGGTCTCAAGGCTTTCTGTGGAGCTGTTCTCTTAGCGGGCGAGCTCAGTATGTGCACACATATTCCTGTACAAGTGTGCTTCTATGCACACACTCCTGCACACACACATGTGTGTGTACATGCTTGTGGACCACTCACATGCTTATGCACACATTTGTATGCTCCTATACACACATACATATTTGTACACATTGTACACACATGTGTGCTTTCTGCCACCTTCAGGATCCTTGGCTACACACCTGATCTGGACCCCGAGACGGTGGATGATGCCTTTGCGCGAGCCTTCCAAGTCTGGAGTGATGTAACCCCACTACGGTTTTCTCGAATCCATGATGGAGAGGCTGACATTATGATCAACTTCGGCCGCTGGGGTAGGGAGGAAGCTGGCTGGTGGCAGGTTGCAGCAGGGATGTAGAGACAAAGGGGTTATTTGGACATTAGAGGGGCGTAGAGTGCGATGTAGACCACAAGGCAGCAGTTATCGACACTGGAGGTGGTTTAGATGGGGGCAGCACCACGCAACACAGACACTGGAGAGCCACCTAGATGCGAGGGCACAGGTGATATGGTGTAACCTGTAGACAGTAAAACCCTGAAGTAAGTATCCATCTGTACAGCCCTAAGGGTGGCCACTAAATGCATATGGCTATTTAAATTTAAATTAGCAAAATCTTTTTAAATTTTGAACTCAGTGTATCAGTCACCCTGGCCATGTTTCAAGTGCTCAAGGGCCACAGGAAACAAGTGGCCTCTTGGCAGCACAAAGAACATCTGTAGCATCACAGAAAGTTCTGTTGAGTAATGCTGCCTAATGCAGAGGAGTTATAGACTGACAGCTCAGGCATGGTGGAGCAATGGAGACATGAATAGAGCCCAGGCTCAAGGCTACCATGTGAATTGTGGTGTGAACACAGGTAGTAACATGGACATGAAGGTAGGTAATGTAGCACTGAATGGTATAGTGATGAGGTTACAGAGTTAGGGACAGAAAGCCATGTAGCCCCATGAGTGGATGAATGGACTTTGGTAGTAGGCATGGGGGTTAGAGTAGTGGATATTGGTGATAATGTGAGCTTTAGGCTGGATATGGATTAGAGGGCAGTGGTGACAGAAAAGTAGATGATGTAGACATTAAGGACCATGAAGGTAAGTGATGGAGACACCAGTATGGCATTGTAGGCATGTGAGTAGATATGGTGGCAATGGTAGTAGTGTAGACAGTGTAGGTAGAAGGTACAGATAAGGGAGGCATGTGGACTTGACAGAGTAGTGTAGACCATAGTGAGACCATGCTCACAATCAGATTGGAAAAGTCTCTACTGAATCCTTGTATTTCTAGTGCCAGATAGCCTCAGTGGGACTGGGGAAGGGGACAGAAGTTGGGTGGCTTGGGTATGGATGTGTCTGGGGTCCAGTAAGGTGTTTGGAAGCTGATACCTTCTGTGGCTTTTCAGAGCATGGAGATGGGTATCCGTTCGATGGGAAGGATGGGCTCCTGGCTCACGCCTTTGCTCCAGGTCCTGGGGTTGGGGGAGACTCTCACTTTGATGACGATGAGCTATGGACCCTGGGAGAAGGACAAGGTAAGACAGTCCTCTGTGTGCCCCCTTGTCATCTGGTGGCAAGGACCGTGGCTTCTCTGGTGACCTTGAGCCTTTCCATCTGCTCTGATGTGATGGGTCAATGGGAGGGGAAGGGAAATCACACCCCTGGGAGCCCCAATCCTAGTCTCCAAAGAAAGGCTATCAAGGCCAAACCACATGCTCCATGTTGCCTCAGTGGTCCGTGTGAAATATGGAAATGCCGATGGGGAGTATTGCAAGTTCCCCTTCCTCTTCAACGGCCGTGAGTACACCAGCTGCACAGATGCAGGCCGCAGTGATGGCTTCTTGTGGTGCTCCACCACCTACAACTTCGAGAAGGACGGCAAGTACGGCTTTTGCCCCCATGAAGGTGAGCATCTTCTCCCAGTCTGCAACCTTCTCAAGGTCCCTGCTCTGTCCCTGGCAGGCTGGTCAGTCACCATTCTCCATAACTCTTCATATATGCCTCACCATCTTGGCTCGAGCCATCTGTACCCTGAGAGCTGCACACTGCTTAATGATGGGGACACATTCTGAGAAAAGTGTAGTTAAGCAAGTGTGAACATCATAAGATGACTTATACAAATCAGCATCCTCTTTCCGTCACTAGGTGATACAGTGTTATGGACCCATCATCGTATGGGACCACTGCCATATGGTCCTTTGTTGATCAAAATGTATTGGCCTGGCTTACTTAATACCTTGATTAATTCAACTTTTAAAAAGTCTTACCATTGTCCATAATATATGTGAAATCATAGGCTTGCTGTGCTAATTGTTTTTTAACATACATGATAATGAATGTAGAGCTATTAAAATGCCCCATGATTCTGGAATCACTTTCTATACTGTAATCAAGGCTGAGGGCTGAAGGGCATAAGGGCACCAGCCTGGAGATGGGTGGAGGCCTACCATGGTGTAGGCTAGGGAGGCAGGACTCGGACCTAGCTGGCACCTGATCTAGTTGGAGACTTCGACCTTGGGAACATCAGCCATTGATCCACCACTAGTTCTATTGTCAACTCAGCTGATGAGTGTGCATGTGCATGTGTGTGTGTGTGTGTGTGTGTGTGTGTTTGGAACTGTAGTTTCAGATTTTGAAGCCATCTAAAGGAAGAGATTTAAAATGTATAAGTGCATGACATCCACATTCAGTCCTTTCTTAAAACATTCTTGACAATGACAAATCCGAACAAAATAGTAAGACCTTATACCAGTCATCGTATTTGATGAGTCTAGAGATCAAAACTCTGGAAAGCTGGGGAAAATGGGAGAAAAATCTAAAATTCTTTTCTAAACACTTCCTTCTTTCCCATCTGGTAAAGATTCTTCAGTCTGTAGTCTACAGACTGTCCATCAGTTTAGGTATAATTACATGTGTTCATGAAATCTCTCTGACCCCACAGCAACCAACACTGGGCACCAACTTTCGTGACAGAAGGAAAGAAGCAAAAAGTTTGCTAATTGTCTTCCTGTTTACTTGCATTACCAAAGCTAAACTTTGCGTTACATAAGAATTTAAGCCATTGACTATTAGTACCTCAGAAGTTTTTAAATAAAAATACTGTTTCATCCTGCATTTCCCATCAAGGAGTCAGGCGGCGTTAACCCTTTCATGAGTCAGTGCCTCTGATGGAGACAGAATGCCTTGATAATAGGAACAGCGGTATTTCACAAGTTTGGAAGGGTTTTTCCCTGCCTTGGACATTAGCCATCTACTTGGTCTTCAGCCAGGTGCAAGTATGCACAACGTGCACATGTTTGGGTCTTGTGGTTCTTGTTACTCAGCCCCTCCTGACTGCTGAATCAGTGTCTGCTTCTTGCCCTCTTAGTTGGGGGGTGGATCCAGGCAGAGTCAGGGGCTTCCTGGGTGGTAGAGATTCAGCTGATGGGAGACCAGAGGCGGAGTGGGGGAGCTGGCTTCAGTTGACGTTAACACTTTGCCTTTCCCCACTCCCACACTACCAAGGTCTCTGGGCTCCATTTGGCCTTTTCTGTGGGTCCCATTTGGTCTACATCCCAGGACAAGGGCTCTTGTTTGCGGGAAGTGAAGCAGTGAGGATAAGGACCCTGAGTCCTGAGGGGAGAGGTCAGGGCCTGGGCTCCATGCTGGCCATGGCGGAGTTAACAGAAGCTGGTGAGGTCACCTCTGGCGCCACTGTGCACAGATGGTCTTTGTTACGCACTTGTGGTTTTGCTAGTTGGCAATTCCAGAGACACGCCATTTTGTAGCTCGGTGGTGGATGAGGGGACAGAGGAGTAGGGAGAGAACTCAGGAGAGACAGGCCAGATCCTGAGTCACAATCTCTTCTTGGACTCTCCAGTTATGGCCCTTGTCCTGGGAGTGGGAGTCTGGTGTGTGTGTTAAAAGGGTTATGGAGACACCATCTTCTTCTCATTTGCTCCATTCTGTCCTGCAGGGACCACAGCAGGGCTATCCAGGAATGTTCCCTGGGTTGAAGGGAAGTGATGCTGTCTCTCTGCATGCACATGTGTATATGTGTGTGTGGAGACAGAGAATGCTCCAGAGGTTGAGATTAGTGAATTTTGTAGTTTTCAGCTACAGCCTGTGTTCACTTCATTTATGTGACTGTGAACTGTTCTGGAACCATCCTTCTCCCAGCTTCACTTTCCCCATCTATCAAATGGAGAGACTCTTCCAGATGTGTTTCCCATGGGTGATGTAGTTAGCGATCTTCAGGGTGTATACACTGACCAGCAAAGTGGATGTTGTCCTTGATGTTGGGGTGGAGTTCTGGAGGCCCGTGCTGTGCACCAAATGTTGACCATTTTGTGGTTGGTGTCCGTGAGGTCCCAGGGGAAGGAGCAGAGGGGACAGGGCTGCAGGGCTTCTCCTTGGGAGCCCACAGAACCAACAAATGAGGATGGTTTTAATATTTTAACAACACAACTACACTGGTGTGAACTGGCAGGTGGGCAGCCTGCCAGCTCCGTGCCCAGGCAGATATCTCTCTCTCAATGGCATCCCCCTGTCTCCCTCCCCCAGCCCTGTTCACCATGGGTGGCAATGCCGATGGACAGCCCTGCAAGTTCCCGTTCCGCTTCCAGGGCACTTCCTACAACAGCTGCACCACCGAGGGCCGCACGGATGGCTACCGCTGGTGTGGCACCACTGAGGACTACGACCGAGACAAGAAGTATGGCTTCTGCCCCGAGACTGGTGGGTGTCTCCTCCTGCTGTCTGATAGAAACCCACTCAGTCACCCCAACTTCCTTTCCTGCAGGTAGGGGTGCCCGCCAGAATCCCTGGCAGCTAGTACAGCATGGGCACAGAAATCAGGACACATGTGAGGCGTCAGCAGCCAGCTGAGCCTAAATGTCAGGCCTGCTCAGTACCTTCTACAAGTGACCCTCACCCCTTGTGTCTCAGACTGTCTCTCTGACCTTGCTGTCTCTCCTCCCTGTGTTTCTGGTCTGCATCTCCTCCTATCTGGTTTTCACTAAGGACTCCCTTCCTCTGCTCCTCCCTTCTACCTTTCTTCCTTCCACCAAGCATGCTTTAAGAGGCACACACAGAGCTTGGTCTCCCCAGGACCTGTTTGTGGGTGTTACTGTACAGGAGTGTGTGTTGGGACTATCCGCCCTGCCCAGTCCCCTGCCCCCATAGGTAGGAGGCTGATGACAGCTCTGGACCCTGGCTGTCTGGGTTTGAACCTTAGCTCCAACCCTAAGTATCTGTTCAGGCAAGTTTTTACTCTCTGCCAACTTTTGGGTCTGCATCCATGGTTTCTCCATGGGTATAGCCTTTGGTAACCACTGTGCAGGTTTGGAGTGGGGGCGGTGAGATGTGGGCGTGAGCTCTTGACCTAAAATGTGGGACAGAGCGAGGACTCTGTAAATGTGGTTTATTAACATCAGCATAATAGCATTGTTTCTGGGTGGGAGCCTCAGACCCCCTGCTGTCTCTTGACCCATGTCTTGCACCCCACAGCCATGTCCACTGTCGGTGGGAACTCAGAAGGTGCCCCCTGTGTCGTCCCCTTCACCTTCTTGGGTAACAAACACGAGAGCTGTACCAGTGCCGGGCGCAGCGATGGGAAGTTGTGGTGTGCCACCACAGCCAACTATGATGATGACCGAAAGTGGGGCTTCTGCCCAGATCAAGGTATGAGGCCCCGGCATTTGGGCAGAGACACTGGACACCTTGTCCCTGTACCTGGGATGGAGACCTCACCTCAAGCACAGACACTGACCCCCAGATACCCACCTACTGTAGTTGCAGGACCCCAGACCTACTCCTAGGGCAGAAAACCTGTCTGGCCTTGGTGGAGACAGGTTTCCTGCTGAGGCCCTGCCCAAGAAGGCAGAGATACAACCTCCAAATAGGACCTCGTCCACCTGGTAGCTGCCTCCCGGTGGAAACCAACCCTCCTGGTTTCCAGCCTTGTCTTCTGTCTCGACCACTCCCTCAAGCAGGGATGTTGCCACCATTGCAGGCATGGCTTCCTCTGCTCTGGAAGTGTGATTCTTCTCAGAGACATTCCCACTCTAATACAGAGGTGCCTTTAAGGAGCGGGGCAGGCAGCAGAGGCTCTAGACTCTCTCTGACCCATTAGCTCTGTTCTTTGTCAAGATGTGAGTGATGGTCCCTCATCTGTGATTAGGACATAGCCTTCCAGGACAGCTCTCTACCCACCAGGACTTGGGCTGGAGTGAGAGAGTGACCAGGAAATGGTCCATGACTCTACTGTGGACAGTGTGGTGAGCGAGGTCCATGGGCACCATGCCCTCTCTAGTCTGCAGGGCCTGTGCACCTGGGGCTCAAAGCCCCTGATGACCTGCAGTAGGTGAGAGGGCTGGTCCAGGGCCTGCCACAGTGAGGCCAGTCTCCCTTTATGTTATTTTTATTTATTTTTTACTCACAATGAGATGAACGTGGTGGATCCCAGAGACTGGACAAAGGTGTTTTTCTTATCCTCAGGCAAGTGCCATGCTGGGACATTTCCTCACTTTACCTGCTCTGTGCCAGCCTTCTGCCCACCAGTGGCAACCTCCATCTGCCTGAATGGTTCTGGGGCTCACACTGGGTGAATATTACTTTTCTTGGGCTGCTCTGACAAAGTACCATAAATTGTGCTTAAAACAAAATCAACCGATTCTTTCATAATAATGAAGGCTCAGAGTCTGAAATCAAGGTGTCAGTGAGGCCCTGTCCCCCTGAAGGCTGCAGGACTGCATTCCCTGCCCCTGTCATCACACAGCCTTCTTGCCTCCGCCTGTGCCTGACTCTGAGTCCATCTTATAAAGATGTGAGCCACATTAATTTAAAGGCCCACTGCACCCCCGTGTGATATCATTTTAATTACATCTCAAAGACCCTATTTCCAAATAAGTCACATTCACAGGTATCCAGGGTTGGACTTAAACTTATCTTTTGCAGGGCATCATTCAACCCAGAACAGGGTGTGAAGTAGGATTTACTGGCTATCTCTGGCTGAGCCTGGACATTGAGCCCAAGGGGGCATGGTTTCCCCTGCTTTGGGGGGGGTAGGAGTGGGGGGATCATGGAGGGAGTCTTTCCCCACCTGCCTACCTCTTGGGAGGTTTGAAGAACAGGATTGACCCCTAGTCTTTATAGAGATATGAAAGGCTGGGAAACACAATTTCTAACAAATACAAAACAAAACAAAATTTTTTTTTCTTTGTTGGCAAAAAAACTCCTTTGTTTTGCAGCAGAACATCCCTTTTAACACAAAAGATTTGCAGATGCTTCTCGCACTCCTACTTTTTAGCATATACGCCTCCTGAGCTGGGGAGAGGCAGAAGGACTTTGGCTGACCCCACTTGGAAGCAGTAGGCACTGATCATTAAGTCCAGATAGCTTAGGAGAAGTAAAAGTCCTTATGTGCCACATCCAGGGATTTTGGCCCCCATGGGGATATCCCTGAAGTCTCCCTCGCTGAGACCCTGACTCCAGGCTCATCTCTCTGTCTTTCAACCCCTTCTCCCTGCTGTGGCTCTCAGGGTACAGCCTGTTCCTTGTGGCAGCTCATGAGTTTGGCCACGCCATGGGGCTGGAGCACTCGGAAGACCCTGGGGCCCTGATGGCGCCCATTTACACCTACACCAAGCACTTCCGCCTCTCCCATGATGACATCAAGGGCATTCAGGAGCTCTACGGTAAACCTCCCTTTGGGGTCCTGTGGGCGGGTGTGCAGCCTGGGAGGAAGGCACAAAGAGTAGGAATCAGCAAGGTTTCATCTTCCAGAGACAAGGGCAGGAGGCAGGAGTGCTGACCTGGTCTTAAAGGAGTCAGAGCAGGGCTCCAACGGGACCCTTGAATAGCTCTGTCTGTTATAAACGCCAGCTGTTTCCACCATGCTTGGTTCCCCATTTCTAGGGCTCTTCGCTTTCCAAGCAAATAAACTGATGTTTGAGTCTGAGCATCCACGCCCTTCACCAGGAGAGTTAGCTGACCGCAGGCCAGACTTCGCCATCATCGGGGATGAGCTTACTGCTATGGGAGTGAAAGTTTCTAGTTCTCAAAATATGCTTTTATTTTGATATGTAATGGAAACACAACTAATCCCTGAAGCCAATGATTGTTTATTATTTGTGCTTAGAGGGAGGCTAGAGTTTAGGAAGTCAGTCCATTTCTTAAAATAGAAAATCAATTCCTGATGGTCCTGGTGGTACTGGAGCCAGGCCAAAATAGTGGAGGTTGTACTTGAGCGAGGAGCTTGGGGACACTGAGCTCGGGAAAGAACCTGAGGTTTGGACCACAGGTTCCAGTGCTGTCTTTGCCACTGGGCAGCTTCTAGGGATTGAACAAGACTTTATCCCTCTGGACTCAGCCTCGTCAAATGTGGCTGCTTATCATGAGAAGTAAAGACATTCAAGCTGGAGGCAATCACCCAGCTCTAGTACTATACACGAGTGGCCCCTGACTACCTTGACTCTTGCAGGCTTAAGAAACTGAGCTTTGGGTTTGGGTTTGAATCTTTGGCTTTGGGTTTGAGACTTGCCAAACCCTTCAGGGCCTTGCTTTTGTTGTCTATGAGATGGGAATTCATTCCCTTGGCTTTATTTCCCACACTCCAAGTCCAAGCACCTTTATCTTCCTGGGCTCACACTAGGGCCAGAAGAGTATTGCACCTGATGCTGGGGGCGCAGCCTGGTGGAGAGAACCTCTAGACCCAGGGAGAATCTAAGGCCGTGTGTCCCTCCCCCCAACCCCCAGGGGCCTCTCCTGACACTGACATTGATACCGGAACTGGCCCCACACCCACACTGGGACCTGTCACTCCTGAGATCTGCAAACAGGACATTGTCTTTGATGGTATCTCTCAGATCCGTGGTGAGATCTTCTTCTTCAAGGACCGGTGAGTGCAGGCATTTGCTTCTTATCCTTCCTGCTTCCTGACCTCCTCCCTTCTCTATTATTCCTATGTCACTACCCCTTGTTGAGGACCCCCGGGGCCTTATAGAATGACCTATTGCCAGCAGCTTTTGCTGTGCCTCACACAACCTGCAGATCTCAGTGGCTTACCACGCAGGCATCTCTTTTGCTCCTACATGCTCTGCAGGCCTGCTAGGTGTCTAGGCTTCTGGCTGAGGTTGGGGGTGAGGTGTACTCTGCATGTCACTCATTTTCCTCATGTTAGTGACAGCTTGTGCTAGGTGATATGGCACAAGAAGCAAATCAAACCACACCAGCATATTTAAAGCCTCCACGCACATCATACCTGAGAACATTCCAGTGATTAAAGCAAACCATTTGGCCACTCCTAATACCTGTTCCAAAGACAAACAACAAAGTCACATGGCAGTGCACATGTATGCTTCATTCTAAAATAGGATGGAGGAAAGAATTGAAAACAATAATACAGTTTACCATAGGCCTTTCCCTGAGATGTTCTTGACCTCAAACAGCCAAACTGTTCAAGGTGTGGGTAAATAAGTGACCACAGGATAGAGAGAGGTAGTATCCTTGCTATAGATAAAAATCCCCACTGACTTGACAAACAGTTGAGACTCACTCTCATTGCTTAGTCCCCTGAATAATGGCAAGAAGTACTTAGGGCCTCATTAAATGGTCCACCCATTGTCCATCTACTCATCCATCTGGCCATCCATGAATACGTCCAACCATCATCCATTCACCCATCTATCTATTCATGAAGTACTATCTTCCCTAGAGAAAAGTAATTGAGAAAATAGACTCATTAGAACCCTAGACCTGCTCTGTATACATTGTATGACCACAGACAAGTTAATTAAGTATCTTCTTAGTGCCCCAGTTTCTTCATCTATAAAATATAGCTAGTATTCCTTCATAGGAAAGTGACAAGGATTAAAGGATCTCAGTGCTTAGAACAATGTTTGACACAGAGTAAGTATATTTACACATGTCAGCTGTTGTTATTGACATATAATTGTTTGGCATCTTTAGAGTCAATTTCCTCATTAAGCTTTAGTGTAGGGTAGGTGAGAAGACAGTGTGCTGGAGACAAATGCCCTGCTTGATGTCTAGATCAGTGTTCTCAAAGAGCAATGCACGGCCCTCCCTCCAAGAACCACCTAAAGTGTGAGTGTTAAATGTGTGGGTTTCACCTGCTGCCTTTGGCTGGAATCTCTGGAGGCAAGATTTCAGCATCTGCATTGTAAACAACTCCCCAGTGATTCCAATGCACATTAAAGTCTGTGCATCACTCGTGTGGTTTGGGAAACAAAGCCTAGAGAACTGGCACTGCTTAGCACATGCAGAAGAGAATGAAACAAATGTGATTGCAGAGGCACTCACAAAATGCCTTTGGGGAAACATCTCATTCAAGGAAGGTTTCACACAGGAGGCAGCCTTGGAACACAATCTTTAAGGGAAAGCATATTTTTGACGCATGGTGATGGGATGACACTGAGACAGTGGGAACTGCAAAGCAAAACCAGAGAGATGCAAAAGATCCTGGATTATACTAGGCAGAACAGGGAGGCTGGTGAAGCTAGAAGATATTCCATGCACTTGTGAAGGGCCTCCTCTGCTCCAGGTGTGGCACGTGTTGGAGTGCAGGTGCTGTGCCCTTCACAGTGTCTGCCAGCCAGTGGGGAGAAGGCAAGAGAGTAATGAGACTGCAGTGCAAAGAGAAGTCAAGTACCATTAGGTCTCAATTGCCCAGAGTAGATGTTGCGTGCTGCCCTTCAACCACTTGTGAAGGCTAGTAAGAGGCAGGTGGGGAGTCCATTCTCTAGCAATGTCCTTAGTCTGCTCCCATAAGGAAGCCTGGTTACATGTGCAGATGTCAGAAGACTAGACCTAGGAGAGGGCTCAGAGCCCAGGTGCAGGCCAGAGGTATTTCTGACTCGGCATATCATCCTTTCAAAAAGACTATGATGAATGTAAAATGGACTCATGGAAATAGTCAATAAATAATTAAGCACTGAACCTGTGCAGAAGTTCATGCTAAGCACTTGTGTTAGTCATCTTTCTGTTACTGTAAAAAAAAAACCCTGAGATAATCAAATTCATATGATATTTTGGTTCACAGTTTTGGAGGGTTCAGGCCATGGCCAGCTGGCCTGAGTCTGTACATCATGGTGGGACTGTGTGGTGGTGGGGCCTTCACCTCATAGCACTGAAAGGAAGTGAGAGAGTGAGGAAGAGGAAGAGGGAGACCTGAGTTCCACGGCCCCTTTCAGGACACACCTTCCATGACTTAATCTACCGATATGCCCCACCTCTTAAAGATTCCAACACCTTCCCATCATCAAGCCAAGAACTCAGCTTTACACATGGGCCTCAAGTGGACACTCCACAGTCCTGAGGCCCCACAGTGCTGGGAGGACAAAGCCCGTACTACAGAAAGATGAAATTTGGATTCTGGAGTCAGATCTGGATTTGAATCTTAATAATAACTTCACCAAGCTTCATTTGCCAATTAGGGATCGTGATCCCTCCCTATAATAGAATGTTTCACTGTGTGGCAGAGATACCCTCTCCCTCCTAACTCCAAGCTGAAGCTAGCTTAGACAATAGAACAAAGGTGCTCTCACATGGTACAAATTACAGGTACGGAAGAAGGGGAATGCCTTGATGTTTTAGCCACTGCCATTCTTTGTATTCACTGAACTCCAAGACTGGAATCCCTCCTGGTTACAGGATGACTGCCAGTGGCAAGTGGGGCTATGGATTTCTCATATCCATATCCAGTGGGAGAGTTATGCAAACAGAAGTGTACACGTGCACTTGTGCAAGCGTGCATGCTCACACACACACACACACACACACACACACACACACACTCCTACATTCGAGATGCTAATCTGATGTTCAGTATTGTCATACCAGTATAAGTCATATGGCAAATGCTGAATCAGAAACAGGTGCCAAAAAATATTAAGCTCTGATTGGCTTAGATCAGTAGTCTCAAACTTTGGCATACATTAAAATCATCTGGAAAGCTTCTTAAAACACTGGCCTCAAGTTTAGTGAGTCTGCTCTATGGGTCTCAGGTAGGACTCAAAGATTTCTATTTCTAAGCGGTCCTAAAATGCTGCTGTTGGTGGTTTAAAGACCACAATTGGAGAGCCAGAATCATAGACTAATAAGTATCTACTCTTAGGATGGAGATTGGGTCACAGGCAGTGGGGGCTGATGGTGGAAATGGCGATTGTGAAGGATGGATCATAACTGCATTTCTAGGAGAAAGGGTGATAGGCATATAAATAATAGATTCTGGGTAGACCACCAAGATTACACATCCCATTGTTATGAGGATTAACTTTTATGAGGCACATAAAGTGTGTATAGCAGGCCTTCCATAAAGAATAGCTCTTACCCTTGCCAAAATACAGTGTCATCATTCCATTTCAGCCCAGAAAATGCTTTAGACTGTCATCAGCCCCTGTCTCAAATGGCTTCTAATAAAAATGGGACAGATATGATAAACAACTACTATTCTAGGTGCTCGGTGCTGATTTTGAGAATCCTACAGCTAGGAGAACACAGTATAGACAGGAGTAACCAGAGAGGTGAGGGTGGGGAGGAAAAGAGTTGCTTTTCAGCCCCAGAATCTTGCAGGGGAGGACTCTGCCCATTCTGCATTCTGCAGCCCATCTCCAAACTTCTTTCGATCTTGACTGTCCCTCCCATCAGAGAATCATCACCGAGGAGTTTCTGGGTGCAATTTGGGAGACACACATGGTTAGAGCTGTGGAGTGACTGCGTCTGCTTTGTATGTCCAGGTTCATTTGGAGGACAGTGACACCACGTGACAAGCCCACAGGACCTCTGCTGGTCGCCACATTCTGGCCTGAGCTCCCAGAAAAGATTGATGCTGTTTACGAAGCCCCACAGGAGGAGAAAGCTGTCTTCTTTGCAGGTGTGTGGAAGGGTCTTACCTGCCCTTGGTCCAGGGATGCTATCCCAGGACTGTTATGTAATCTGGCCAACTCCTTCCCACCAGTCCACAGTCCCCAGGCACCTGTAGGTGCTCTTCTCCTTCATGCATCCATTCTTTCAGCATCATTTCCAAAAGTCTGTATTCATCTGGGAGACCAGTCTAGACACCCAGCATCACACAGCTTAACCCAGAGAGAGAACATTTCCTTTTTCTTTTTTTTATCTCTGATTCAATCCTTCTGATAATTTCTTTGCCAAAGAAGAACAATCTCATTTTAGTGCTTGTATGTCCTTGACATCTTTCTTTTTTTTTTTTATTTTAGAAATAAAAGGAGGAAAATACTAACAGATCGACAATGTTTTACAAAATAGCAAAGGATCAGTACAGACATTACAGAGTTACAAACAGAGTGGTAGGGAATTAACAATGCTTATTGTATTACATATTGATATCTTCAATGTAGTTTCTCATGAAAACACATATAGACATACAAAGCTAATCAACCAATGCCTCACTGACAGTTTCTTTCAGCAAGGAAATACAGGACAGTAGAGCACCTGTGTTAACTATCCTGCATATACATATATACAAACTTTCTCCTTCTTTCTTGACATCTTTCTAGTGCTAAAGTATTTGCAGGCCATCGATTTAGTTAGAATTCACAAAATGACTAGTTTTCATTTTTAAATTTTTAACATAAAGTTATTTTGATACAGATGGTCAGTTATGCTAGGTGGCATTCAAACCAGGACAGAAATGCATCATTCCATAGATAACATTTAGATAACCGAACAACAATTTTTAAAGAAATCTGATTTCAAACATTTTTGAAATGAATTCACTAAAAGCAGAAATATGTAGTGAGTAATAGTGCAAGGAGCCCAGAACTGGGCAGGGTGTACGTGGCTAAAGGTTGGGAGCTTTGCTCATTCAACATTTACTTGTGTACCTACTATGTGCTGCTCTTTGCTGGGCTCTAGAGATGAAGCCCTTTCCCTCCTTTGCTCACAGATTACTCAAGGAGACAGACAGCCGGCCTGCTGTGAGGGAGTTCGGTGTGGTGTATGATAGGGGGACCAAGAGGATCCCTGCCTGTCCTACAAGCTGGCTCCTATCTCTATCCCATGGTGACCATGCGTCTTGGTCAGGGTAGCTGTTGGCTCTCAGGGCAATGTTGGACAAAGTAGGAAGAAGTACCTCTGTGTGGCCAGCAAGACATTCACATGTCCTGGATCTCACACCCCAGCCTACGTCACCTCTTTGGCATGGTGTCTTCTATCATCAACTTACAAAACCTTGTGTGTGAGGCCTGATGCTCGCACTGAACCTGGAAGTGAGAAGCACCTTGTACCCTATTAACAATGTACGCTGTACCCTGCACCCTATTAACAAAATGATTGCAGTGGTCATACCAGACAGATGATGGGACAGGCCGGCTTGGGGGACTTCAGCACAGTCACCAACACCTCTTCTCTTTCCCTCAGGGAATGAGTACTGGGTCTATTCTGCAAGCACCCTGGAGAGAGGGTATCCCAAGCCACTGACCAGCCTGGGATTGCCCCCTGATGTCCAGCGAGTGGATGCTGCCTTCAACTGGAGCAAAAACAAAAAGACGTACATCTTCGCGGGAGACAAATTCTGGAGGTAAGGGAGGGCTGTGGGCAGGACAACAGCAGAGCTGACTGTGGCCAGATGCCTCCAGTCAAGTTTAGAGGTTGGTGGATCGTGGTTGTCCTCTTTCTGATCTTTAACCTGCCAGAGCTGAAGCCCCTCTGTGAAGTCCCTGAAGGATGAGCCATTCTTGTGCACACTGATGGTGTAGTTCTTCTCAGGATCTCTTTTCCCTTCTTGTGTGTTTTCTGATTGGGCCTGTGTATGTCCAGTCTGGAGCCTTGTATTTTAAAGTGAATCACTGTTGAAAGTGGGCGGTAATGAAAACAAAGATAACAGCTGCTACTGTTGACACTGTATGCCAGACGCTATTCCAAGGGCTCTGCGAGGTGTCTACTTTTATTATTATTTCCATTTTCCAGATGAGCAAACTTGGGTGCAGAAAGGTTAAATAACTACCGAAAGTCACACAACCAAGTAGTGGAGGTTGGGTTGGGGACTCTGGCATTCTGACTCCCGGGACAGGGTACTGTACTGTTCACCACAGTACCCTGTATTTCATGCAGAGGAGTCCCAGGAGATGGGAGTGGTAGACACAGATGGGAGAGAGAGACAGCCAGAGAGAAAGACTGAAAAATGGGTGCAGCAGCTGCCCACAGGAGCCAGCCCCGAAACCAGGCCCCCAGAAGCAGCAGCACCCTCTGGCAGGCCTGCAACAGGTCCAGTGGCTGTGGGCACAGACTGGCAGGGGAGGAATTTGGAAGCAAATGACTCTCTGCTCTGGGTCATCTGGAAAGAAGGATTCAGTTCTGAGGTTAAAGAGCTGGGGAACCTGACATCAAGGAACAGGTGGTGACAATGAACTCAGACCTAGGAGTTTGGTGCTCATTCTTCACATGTTCCAATGAGGAAACTGAGATCCAAATAAATTAAATAACCCGTCCAAGTTGTTTGTATATAAGTTTACTGGAGCCCAGGGTAGGGGTGCATGCCTGTAACCTCAGCACTCTGGGAGGCTAAGGCAGGAGGAGCAAAGTTCAAACCCCGCTTGGGCAACTTAGAAACTTAGCAAGACCCTGTCTCAAAATTTAAAAAAAATTAAAAAGTGATAGGGATATAGCTCAGTGAGAAGGTTTCTGGGTTCAGTCCTCAGAACTTGAAAGAGGAAAAGTGTATTAGCACAGAGCTGGCTCTGTGGCTGCTTCTCCCGTTTCCTCACCCAGTGCCCCTCCACTACACCCTCTGGGCCACTCGTTCAGTGGAAAAGGGAGGACTGGACAAAGGCTTTTGGGGTATTTTCCATCTCCCCCTTCTAGTGTTCTTAAATTCCTGTGTCTGCCACTGCATCTAAGCCCTACCAGGAGCTACTTAGAAGCCACTCCCTGAGGCTTTGTCAGCGGTCCTGGGAACAGCTCCACCTCCTCCTGAGGCTTCTGTCAGCTCCCCCTTTTCTCCTCCCTCTGCTCCGCCTCCAGCTGCCCTGATTTAAAAGCTGCTTATGTCCCAGGCCTGCCAATGACAGGGTGGAATCCTAGACACATTGCTAAGACACTTAGCAGCCTAAGCTGATTGATATCTCAAGCCTCAAGAAGAAAAACAGCCAGCCAGGAAACCACTAGCGGCCTTCCGCCCACAGCCCAGCATGCTCTCCAGCATGCCCACATGCTTCACGTGGCGTCTGAGCTTCCGAGGCACTTGGAACCTCCACATCTGAGAATGATGGACAGCGAGAGGTGTGGAATTAGCGAAACGTTCATCTAAGAATCATAAAGCCCTGGCATCTTTGAAGCACAGTGTTGAAAGACTTGTATGGTCACCTTGCCACACATACTGTGCATGTACACAGACAAGAATCAACGTGTCCATGGGAGAGCACGAGTGCCTGTGGACACACCCTGCCTCACAGGCCGTGCAGTGCCTTGCCAGGCTTCTAGGCAGAGCTGTGTGTCTCCCGCTCCTTTTCACATCAGGCCCACCTCCTCAAGCCAGGGGCCAGGATGGACAGTGTGCTCTGCAGAGGAAGTTCCTCTGTCTCTCACAAACAGGGATGGAACTGAAGGGCCGCTCAGAGGTTTTGAGCTTGGCTTCCAAAAGAGACAGCTCTTGCTCGAAGAAGAGGTGGTGGATGAGCCTGTGGCACTGTCCTGGATGGGGTCTGCAGAGGAAGCTTGCTGTAGAGGATTCCTGGAGGGATCTTTGCTGTAGAAGGAGAACAAGTCCTGAGTGATGAGGGATGGGCATCTGCCTGCAGCATGCCAGGAAGTGCTCGGTGCCCGCCTGTGGGAGCTTACACTGAGCCCACAAATGTATCTTGAGCATCTCTTCTGCTGGGGAGACACTGCGTGAGAGGCAGTCACTCCCCACCCTGTGGAGCTTACAGTAGTGAGCAGAAGTGATTCAAATACATTTAAATTAACTGGCAGTGGCTCTGCTGACAGACCTGTGCCCAGCCCTGACTGGAAGCTGCTAATGTCACCTGCGTTTCTCATTTAAGATAGATTCCTTTATCAGCCCCATTTTCCAGATCCCATACACTAAGGCCAAAATAGGTCAGGGACACAGGCACAAAAAATCTGGTACACAAATATCTGCATTCTTATACCTGCTTCACACTGCAGGGGAGAAACTTCTGTGAAATCTTTCCAACAGTATCCCAGCATGTGGGAGACACTGTGCAAGGTGAGGGGGCCTGGGAAGACACACAGCACCTTCCTGAGTCAGCATTGTCTCATGCCATGATGCCGTGCTCCTCCTAGATGAAAAGAACTTGGAAACAGATGGGTTCATGTCCGTGAGCCTCGGTTCCCTTATCTATACAGTAAGGTTGATTCCGGCCCTCCCTGTCTGGTGGGGGTAGAATGAGGAAGAGATGAGCGCAAAATCAAGTGTGGGACACACATCGGAGCCTTCCAGATTCTAAGGATGTTGTCAGAGGGCTCAGTGGAGGTGAGTTGGTGCTGGGCGTTCAAGCAATACACTTGGTTTTGGTAGCCTCCAGCCTGAGGAAGCAGATTTGCAAGAAGTTGTCTTCTGGTGCAGTGGGGGTTACGAAGGCTTTTCTGGCAGTTCTTGGAGTGGGAGGGAGATCCCTGTACAAGGCATCTGTAGGGGTGAGGGAGGGAGATCCCTGTGCAAGGCATCTGTAGGGGAAGTTGTTGAAAGCTTGGTGGAAGTGGCAGGGCTGGGCATGGGGCAGAAGGCAGCCAGCTAGGAGGGGCACTGTGAAGGAAGGCTTGGCTGTCACCAGGGTGCAATTCAAATAAAGATCTATCTAGAAAATGCCTTCCACAAGCCCAAGACCTAATCCTGTTTTTGGATACCTACTGGCTCAGAGCAGGAGCTCATTAGAAGCTCACAGCATCACAAATGGGTTGTATGTGAGTGGGGAAGCAAAGGAATAAAAAAGACAGCAGCACCTAAGAAGTTCTCCAATAATGTTTATAAGACAGAGGTATTGCTGGCTAGAGAGAAGAATCTGCCAATGAACGCCTGAGACATTTGCCTCAATTAGAGGCAGGAAAACTATGCCCTCTGCCAGCTGCAGCAAGGACTAGGTTGACAGGTAGTCCACCTGCCTTGTGACTACCCAGCCTACAGCCCACATTCATCACTTTGCATTGCAACCTCATTCCCCCTGGCCCTCATCATCTCTCAAGCTGGGGTTTGTTATCTCCACTTCACAGATGAAGAAGCAGCAATTTGTTCAAACGATGGAGTGAAAGAATGATGGGACAGATCCCCACCCTTGGGCACTGGGCCCAGAGTTCCCTATACTGCAGCAGGGATCAGCACTTGTAAGGGAGTTAACATTTCTACAAACCTACACAGTGCCAGACATGGGGATAGACATTTTGTGTCTGCGTGTTGGCACTAAGTGCAAGATGGTTTTTATGAGATTGTCCAAAGTCATGTAATTCATAAGTGGTGGAGTTGAATTTGAGACCCAAGTCTGATTCCACACCCTCCCATTACAGCCTGCCGCCTCTCTGAGGGTTGGGGTTTGGTTTCTCAAGCCTTCTCAGGAGCCACCATCTGAGGGGGAGGTGGCCTCCAGAGAGGCCCGTCTGATTCACCACATTTCTTGTCTTACAGATACAATGAGGTGAAGAAGAAAATGGATCCCGGCTTTCCTAAGCTCATTGCAGATGCCTGGAATGCGATCCCTGATAACCTGGATGCCGTTGTGGACCTGCAGGGCAGTGGTGAGCTACCCAGGCTTCCGTCCGCTTTCTAGGACTCCCTGCCCCCAGCCAAGGCCTGGTTCCTCCCCAGCACACACTTCCTCATTGTGCAGGGCAGGCCTGCTGAGCCCTGGGAAAACAAACCAGCCCCTTCAACCCAGGGCTGGGAAGGCATCCAGACCCCTGACCCCTGCTCCCTCAGCCAGCCCTCGGGCAGAGAGACCTAGAAAGGCCCCTCACAGCTGCAGGGCCTGAAGCCAGAGCAGGGCAGGGGAAGAGGCCTGCAGGGAGCGAGGAACATGGCCTGGTGCCCTGGATTTATTCTGGGGTTTGATTCAGGTCCCTTTGGTTTCGAAGGAGGCCTTGTGACTGCCTCCTGTTAGCAGAAGGATGGCTCCATTTGAGACAAGGCAAACTTTGTCATGCTCTGTCGCTCATGTGGCGAAGATCCTGCTCTCAACTCTGTTTGCTTCTTCGCTGAATGAAACACAGCCAGTATCAGCAAGGGATAGAATTTAGAGTTTGAAAACTGAATTCCTGGCGAGGCTTCTGGGAGCTCTCTGGGGTCCTAGAAATGAGTTCAGTTCAGTTTTTTTTAGAGGAGATTTCAGTTCAATTCCACAAAGATTTTTTTGAGTGCCTACCATATGCCAGGCACACAGCTCTAAACTCCAGGGGCTAAAGATCTTACTGGTATAAGAAAAAGCAGTGTATGATCAGGTCCTGGGTTAAGAATTATCTTCAACCAAACAACCAAATATCTACTGAGCACATACTATGTACCAGGATTTTAAGCGAAGTGAACAGGATCATGGATGTTAGGAGGAATTCGCAGATGCCAAAACCTCCAGGGACCACACAGGGACCAGACAGTAGGGACTAGAAGGGTCCAGGGTGAACAAGAGACCCATGGCTTATTTACAGGAGGCTGTTGCTTCTCAGCTTCTTATGATTGTTGGTCTGAAAAAATTGAGGCCTAACTTTCACAGATATCTTAGTTGTTTTAAAAAGAAGGCATACATTCTTACATTCATACGACATTTCTAGGTGTTTCTAGGTTGATAACTTATTCATAATTAGAGACAGAACCAAAATAAAAAAGGAAAAATTTATATGAGCCAAATAAGAGGCACCTGTAGACCTGACAGGGTTGAAAGGCTCCTGGTTTCCCACCTCTGGTCACAGAAAGTGCTTGGCTCGGTGCTGGTGTTAAGTAGGGTACTGTTATTATTACTTGCTGGCATGTATCATCCACTTTAATTGCACTACAAGCCCTAAGAGGTTGATGTCTTTATCCTCATCTTTGAGATGAGCAGTCAGGGATTAAGAGTCCTCACTTCTCTGGTTTAAAAGCTTCTCCCTTGTGTCACTGACAGCCAAGCTCTCAGGAGCGTTCTGGCTGTATACCAGAATATCAGGATGGGCTGGTCACAGCCTCTCTTCCTTCTCTGTCCCAGGTCACAGCTACTTCTTCAAGGGTGCTTATTACCTGAAGCTGGAGAACCAAAGTCTGAAGAGCGTGAAGTTTGGAAGCATCAAATCGGACTGGCTGGGTTGCTGAGCCGGCCTGGCTCCCACTAGCCCTTCCTCTCCATCCCTTCCCCACCCTGGGCCCTGAGCACTGGGAAGGACCTGGAGGGGCCTAGCAGCCCTGCCCTCAGCTCTGTAGTTAATCAGCACTCTCAACCCTAGCCTGGTAATTTAAGATTCCAGAGAGTGGCTCCACCCTGTGCCCAAAGAAAGGTGCTGTTGTACCCCTCCCAGGTGCCCCTTTCCTCTCCAATCTCACCACTCCTTGGAGCCACCCCTGAAGAGATGCTTTGATTTTCCCAATGCAGCTCTGCTCTGGGCTGCCCTGGTGCTGCCACCCCCTTCAGGATCATCTTCCTCCACAACCTTCTGTGGCTCACAGCAGCCTCAGAGCCAACAGAGACTATCTCAAGAGGGCACTGGTGGCCCAACAGCCTGGCATGGGGCAGTGGGATAGGGGAATAGTCCAGTGGCCGCCTTAAACACCTGGCATCTCACTGCTGGCTGCTTTAGAACTTTTTCTGTGCTAGCAGTCTGCGGTGTATGCACTTTGTTCTTTTCTTTTGATCCTTTGATTTTCCTACTTTATCACATTTCCTGGTAGAAGGACTCGGATGTCTGATGTCACCACGATGCGTCTCCACCCACATAGCAGTGGTTTCCATGTCCACTCTATTTAGGGTGCCTACCCAGTCTCAGCCTCCACTGGTTGGAGGAATCCAAGCCATGGCTTCCAGCTCAGCCTTTTCTGCCTCTCCCTTCAACAGTTCCCCATGGGAAATGGCAACAAGTATAAATAAAGACTCCAATTGAGTGGCAGTCTTTGCCATCTGTTTTAGCAGAGCCCAGAGTGGGCTACAGTTGCATCCAGAAGAGGAAACTTAGAGCAAATCTCTGCTCCCTGCAGGGAACAGATGATGTTCTCCGGGAAGGTCAGAGCTACCAAAATAAACAGCAAGAGAGCCTCAGGGTGGGTGAGCTCCTGTCCTTCCAGTGTGAGCGAGCAAAGAGCACCAACAGAGCAGCGGTTCTTCACTTTAGTTATGGGGTACGTTCAAGGTTTGCATTCTCTCAGTTCCAGTTTTTTTCATGAACAGTGACACCAGTTCTAAGGCTACTACTAACAACCCACAACAGCAGTGCTTTCTCCCCTGATTAATGGAGGGTTTACAATGTACCAGACACTTTACAGGCACCAGTCACTAACCTTTACAGTCACCTAAAGGAGAAGCTGTTAACCAGCTGAATTTTACTGATGAGGGGGCTAGGCCCAGAGAAAAGTGGTTTTCCCAGGGTCCTATAGCTGAGAGTTAACAGAATTGAGTCACAACCAAAGAATGGCCCAGAGAAGGAACTCTAGCTCTTGGCTTAGAATGCCAATCATCAGCCTGACCCTCTACCACTACCCAAACCTCCCCAAGTAAACACACCCAGGGGAGAATAATGTGCATGCCTTCTAAGGATAGCTACTTTTAGTGAGTGGCCACGCTCCTCTTTCCTGCCAGACTACTCACCCCTACTCTCCTCCGTATAGAAATTTGCCAAATTTAAGCCCTGAGGTGGTTTTGGTTTTTGCTTTTTTTTTTTTTAAGACAGAGTTTTGCTAATTTGCCCAGGCTGGGCTTGAACCTGTGATCCTTCTGCATCAGCCTCCTGGAGTGCTAGGACTACAGATATGGGTCATCATGCCCCGCAGCAGCCTGGGGTTTTTCAGAAGACCCTGCCAGCTAAGATAGTCTGGTGATCTACTGCTTCAGGTCTCTCCTGGTTGGGCTGGTGGGGAAAGGACAGGAGGAGAAGTAGACAGGGCTCCCTGGAGGTGATCTCAGGGGACCTAAGGTCATCTTTTCACCATGGTCTGTCCACTGGTTTGGGTTTTGAAGGTGCTTGACAGACAGCCTTTTGCTGGTATCCAGCCAAAAAGCCACAGAGTAATTAGCTCTTGAAGGTATTCTGCAGCCCTTGAGGATCCTTCAGACTGGGCAGCTTATATCATGGCTGTAATATACTGTAATTAAGGTTCTCTGCTACACAGAAAATTTAGCTACCCCTCCATGCTGTTTCTTGAATGCTGTTCTGTGAGCACAGCACGTCTGTTACTTTATTTAATCCTTACTACAACCCTATGGAGTAGGAATTAATTTTCCACTCCTAAATGAGGAAAAGAAGCTCACGGAAGTGAAGGACTAAGTCAGGGCTGCACGTCTATCTGGTAGGGCTGGAAAAATTTGAGATTCTATACTCAGTAGTTTTGGAGAAACAGCTATCTCATAGCCCGGGTAGAGCTTCATTCTGACCACGTTGATAGAAGGAATGAATGATTTGCCACCTCTGTTCTTTCATTCTCACTCAGGGTGGTCTCAGGTCCCAGGACAACCCCTCTCCCCGCCCCTGCACCCACAAATAGGTCCAATGGGTAAAATGGAGCCACTACCGAAATCATTTCCCTTTAGGGTCAGATTCCTTATCTGCTGTGAAGCCAACTGTTGTCTTTGACTTGTAGTAATAGCTCGCTTCTCTGGAGAACCATCTCCTCACTGTCAGCATATGTGTCTTGAGTGGAACAGAGTTTACACCTCCGGTCAGTTTTTCTTTTTTCTTTTCTTTTTTTTTTCCCCCCCGGGTACCGGGAATCTAACTCACGACGTTGCGCTTGCCAGGCAAGCGCTGTGCCGCTGAGCTAAATCCCGAGCCCCGCCTAGGGTCAATTTTTTTTTTTTCTTTATTTTTTTTTATTTTTTTGGTTTTTCTCTGGTACCGGGAACCGAACTCACGACCTTGCGCTTGCCGGGCAGGCGCTTTGCCCCTGAGCTAAATCCCCAGCCCCTGGGTCAATTTTTATATTAGCTCTCTTTTCGCCGTCTCAGACCAGCACCCAGCTCAAGTTGGTTAACATAAAAATAAAACACACATTAGCATCAAGCATAGATAGCAGCACTCACTTTGGATACATTATTTCACTTTTAAAGGAATAGACCAGGGGAACTGGCGTTGCCAAATCCAGCTTCTGTGGATCTGTTTGTCTCCATTTTACAAAGGTAACTGAGGTTCATGGAGCGAAGTGATTTGGTTTTCCTGACCTTAAGCAGGGAACTTTGCCTAAAGTACTTTTCACCTGTGGGTTATAGCTGGGTACTCTTTCGAGTCATTGCTGAGGGAACCGCGCACCTCCTAGGGGACGGAGCTATGTCGCTAAAGGGGAGGGGCCGGTACCTGGGGGGGCGTGTCCAGAGCTGAGGGGCGGGGCGATCGCTAGGTAACTGGCGCCTGCGCAGAGGCCGCGGTGCTTGGAGCTGGAACTCCCGCAGGGCTGGGACTCCGCGCCGGCTGCTGCTCTCTCCCGCTTCCTTTGCTCCGCCTGGGTCCCACTCCCGGCCCGGCCATGAACTGGTGCGCCGAGGCGGCGGCGGTGGCGGCCACAGTGCCCGGCGCGGGCGTCGGGGACGGGGGACTGCGGCCGCCCATGGTGCCCCGCCAGGCGTCCTTCTTCCCGCCGCCTGTGCCCAACCCCTTCGTGCAGCAGACGCGGATCGGCGCGGCGAAGCGCGTGCAGGTGAGGGACCTGGCCGGGGCTGCCCCGCGGAGCTGCGGGTCTGAGAATTGAGGACGCCCGCGGGGGGGCCGGCTCGGAAGTGAGGATGCGGAGAAGGCGGCCCGGGGGACCCCGAAGGAGGAGGCTGAGCCGGCCAGGTGGAGACCTTCCTTTGCTGAGGAGGGAGGATGCACCTGACAGGTTCTTTGATTTGACTTTGGCAGTGTGGTGGGGCAGAAGTGCCAGGGAAGGGTGGGTTTGAAGGAGCCTCTTCTCGCCTTAGGGAAGGAGAGGAGTCAGTCTGGGAAGGGTAGAGTGAGGGAGAAGGCAGAGATCCCAGGTCTGGAATTAGAATAACAGGTATGGCTGGAATGATTTAGCTGAGCAGAGACATCCAAGCTAGGAAATTAGACATGCAAAAAAGAGATGAGTGCGAGTCAGTTTAAGGTGTTCAAGTGTTTTTGTGATCTTAAATCAGTCTTCACCCAAATACTCCTCTTCGTAGATTCAAGGGTGAGAGTCAGGGTAGAATGTCTCCCACTGTCCAAAATGGCTTTTCACATGGAAGGAAGTTTCCTTTCCTTTCCTTTGTCTTGTAAAGGGTTGCTTTTGCCATTAGCAGTTACACTTTTTGGACTTCCTCTTTGATGAAATTAGTCATTGAGAGGAGAGAGGGTAGGCAAATTGCATTTGTCCTGTGTGGTTTGTAGGGAAAGGGGAAAAAGTTTTGACTTTTTTTCCCCTGTCCATCTCACAGATGTTGTTATTTCGGGGTGAAGTATTTGCAGTCTTTGTGTGGAGAGGGCAGGTTAAGTGCTGAGCTGAGCTAGTGAGCATGGGGTGGTGGCTTCAGTAATGCAGATGGGGTGTCTGGTTGAAGTAGGGGTTGACACAGGAAGAGGAAGATGGGGTGTAGCAATACCTCTTTGTAAGGCAACTAGAAGTTTAAAGTCAATCGTCCTATTTTTTAAATGTATAGATGTTCCTGTTGTATTTTGAAGTGTCTGAAGCATTTCTAAGTATATTGACCATCATTCAAGATTAAATTGAGTCAAATTAACTCGTTAAAAACTATGTCAGTTCATGTTTTAGTAAGTGCTATAAGGGAAAACCAGAAAATAACCCTGAGAGAAGGCTTCTCTATAGCGATGACATACTGCAAATGGAATCATGATGGTGAATCCTCTTCAGCTGTCAAAGAGCTACCTCAGTACTGGTTTACTTTTAGGTACTATTATTTGTTGCAAACTTTGCAGTTGGCACAGGAAAAAAGCCAATGTTTGAGTTTGTCCAGTTAAAATCCGTAAAGATTGCCCAGTGTGATATGAGTGTGTGAAAATACTGTAACTTCATTCCAGCTCTTTCTTTAGTGTCTGTGCCATGGTTCTTTCAGGCAGTCGAGATTATTTCTTAATTTTCCTAGAAATCAGATCTTTTGGAAGAGAATCTCAGCCAGTGACCAGCCAGTGGATTGGGAACTTCAGTCATTTCATCTTGTCCATAATGCAAATCCTCAACTCTCCATCACAACATCCACCCCTCTAAGTAACTAGTGTATTTATCAGGTATATGGAGCTTCAGAAAAAAATCTTCTGGATCCAAGATCTCATGTATGTAATGGTTCTGGAATCCCTGCATGTTTACCTTATGTATATTTTATCTGATAAGAAATAGAGTTACAGCAAAGTTTTACAGTATTTATGTCAGGTTTCAAGTGAAGAGTAATTTAGCAGGGCTAGCTTTGGCCCCCAGAAGAGTGGGGTAGCTTAAATCAGACAAACCTTCCATATATAGTAATTATAAACCCTGATTAAATGTATGGACTCATATGGAGATAATCTGGAGAGAGAACAAAAAGAAAAACTTGAGGAGATTTGTTCCTTGAAGGAATAGTACCATACTATGGGAATTTTGTCTTAGTTTTTGTCCTGTGAGTTCCCTCGTGGTACCATGGGTAGGGGTCGCTAGAAAGGCTTAGTCTTACTGGTCTGTTGTGTCAGAGGACAGAGTTCAGGGCAATCAGAATGGATGGAATTTGAAGGAGAATGTCCCAGAAAGTAGGAAGCTAAAGGGGGCTCCCAAACTGACATATAAATTCTTCTCAAATCTTTGGCTGATCCCTGAATGTATTTGCAAAGGAGTTGTTTTAGTCACTTTCTCATTGCTGAGACAAAATACCAACACCCACAAATGAAGGAGGGAAGGTTTATATGACCGCACAGTTTGTAGATACTTCAGTCTACCGTCAGCTGGTTCCAAGGCGGTGCAGCATGGCAGAAGGGCATCACAGAGGAGAAACAGTTCTTGGCATGCCAAGCAGGAGGCAGTGAAACAGCGAGCCTCTTTCTCCCTTTTTATTCCATTCAGGCTATGATCCTGTTGGTTGGTGGCTCTCACACCTAGGTTGAGCCTTCCCATTACCCGCACCCAGAACTATACTAAACCAATAATGGACTAATCCAGTTACTGCACACCTATAATGCATATTTGCATGCTCTCAGCCATTTCCAAAGAGCCCCACCTACGAGTGCTTGAGGCTTTGTGTGGGTTTCTAGATATAAACCATGACAAGAGCCTTCAAGGATCCTGGAGGAATGCAAGCATAGAAAGGATGAACAAGCCGAGTAGACATTTCAACTGGTGACTACCATGGGGGAGGCACAATAAGAATTCCATCAAATGAGAGGGTCTTAGTGGATACCTCAGGCTGTGTATTAATACCTCACAAAAATATGTTAGGAGAAAAGTTATGGTCTAAGACTGGGGGCAATTCCAAAAATTTCCCTAGCAAAGTGCAAAATCAGCCTCTAGATCGGACGAGATTGGGAGTGTTCAGGGTGGTATGGCTGCAGACTCAACCTCTACAAAGTGGATAATCAGCCAATATTTTACCTACCTGCTAAGAGAAGAATAAACAGTCTTCAGAGGAAGATAACAGAATCCAAATATCTGCAGTGTATCATTCAAAATGGTCAGATAGAAACAATACTAGAAATTTAAAGAAATAGAAGAAAGTGACCCATGGTCAAGAGAAAAATAGGCCTAAATGAACTATAAAGGTAGGTTTATAAAATGCCCTAAAAGGACTACATGTGGGAATTTACAGAAAAACACTTTAAGGTGGCTATTGTAACAATCCCCAAGGACTTAAAGGAAAAGAGTGCCATAATAAGTAAACAGCTAGAGGAAGCTTTGAAGAGAAACAGAAACCATAAAGGAGAACTAAATAACATTTGAAAACTGAAAGGTGTTATATCAGAAATGAAAAGTTCATTAAATGAGCTAACAGGGGATGGTGAACTTGAAGATAGAGTGCCAGAAATTATTCTATCTAAACAGCAGAATTTAAAAAGTCAAGATGGGATATCAGGAAAAATGGTGAAGTGATGACCTCTGAAAGTTATTTTCTCTATAAAAGCAATCAGAACACTGGCAAAAATTTAAAAAATGAAAATAGAATTAACTTATTCATAACTCTGAAAATTAGCCAAAAGTTTTCCACAATCAAGGATTTACTCAAGAAAAAATGCTGATTCTTGGTAAGAACAGTAGGCTTTGTGAAAGTCTAATTTAAGTTTTTCTCATTCATCCTTTTCAGAATGTAGTGTCCTTGGAAAGGAACACCCTGCAGTTATTGTGAAAAGTTAGCAACCTGGAAACCACTAGATGGGGAAGGAGGTGGAGCTCAGAAGAGCCCCTTTTCTAGCAGTATGTCAGTGTTTAATCTGTCTGGTAGCTGCCTGCAAGATGGCTTTGCAAGTCTATCCTTTGACTTGCACTGCACCGCAGCTTGTACAGCTAGCTTTTTCTTAGGTGTGTTTGCAAAAGTTTAACATTTGCTTCATATATTAATAGACTAGATTAATAAAATTGACAAATCCTTGCCAAGACTGATAAAACAGGAGAGAAACTACAAATGATCAGTATCAGGAATTAAAGAGCACATATCATTACTGGTTATCTCTGGGTGTCCCCTCTGAAAGCCTCATGTGCTGAGAGCTGGGGCTTTTGAAAGGTAATTGAATCATGAGAGCTGTATTACTGACTTGATCTGGGGAGGCTGGGTCTGGGGGGAAGAGACTGCTCGCTGGACAGATGACCTGGGAGGGTGTTTTGCCCTCCCAGTTGCTCCCTGTTCACTCTGCTTCCTGGTTGCCATGCTATGAACAGCTTTTCCTCCACTTTGCCCCTCTGCGGTGCTGTCCTGCCTAGGAGCCAGTGGTCTGTGGACTGAAAACATGAACCAAAATAAACCTCGCCTCCTTTAAGTTGTGGGTGTTGGGTATTTTGTCTCAGTCATGAGAGAATGACTAAGATAATCCCCTCATGATTACAGATAGAACAATTCTTAACAAATATGAGCAGATCATACACAGCAGTATATGATGTATGTTGTATTGATAATGTAGCATATCCAATTTTGGTTTAGCCTGGAAATATGCAAGTTAGGTTTCACTTACACATAATTTAATTTTATGTTAATTCACCATGTTAACCAAACATATAGTAAAGAACATTTGATTATCTCACTAGGAGCAGAAATTTAGTTATCTCACTTGACAAAATTTGGTACTTCCTGACGATAAAAAAAATTCTCAGTACGTAGGAATAAAAGAAAACTCTTTCAATCTGACAGAGGACATCTGTGAAACACCTACAGTTAATATAATGGGGAAAAAATGAAACCTGTTTCTCCAAAGGTTGAGAACAAGATAAATACCTTGTTCACCACTTCTATTTAACATTATGTTGAGCTAGCTGGTGCAGTTAGATAAGAAAAAGAAAATAAAGGGGCATGTAAATTAGAGAGAAAAAGATACACCTGTCTTTATTCAAGATAATTGTATATGAAGGACTTCCTAAGAAATCTGCAAAACAACTACTAGAAGTGAAACATCTAGATCACAGGGTGTAAGATCAAAACTTGAAATCAGTTTCATGTATGTCTGTATCCTCACGACAAACAGTTGCAAAATGAAATTAAATAGATCATCTCAAGTGTAATAGCAATAAATGATATTAAATACTTAGGATTTTTAATCAAAAACACATAGGACTGCTACATTGGAAACAACAGAATATTACTGTTGGAAACTAATGAAGATTTAAATAAATGGAGTGATATACCATATTTATGAATCAGAAGAATAAATATTATTAAAATGATATATCCTTCTAAGTTCATCTGTAGATTCCTTGAAATCTCAATAAATGTGTGTGTTTGTGTGTGTGTAAGTTGACAAATTAGTTCTGAAGTTTATACAGAAATGCAAAGGGTCTAGAATAATCTCCACCAAAATGCTGAAGGTGAGAAAACACACACTTCTGATTTCAACACTTATTTCAAAACTACAGTAATTAGTAAGGTATTGGCAGAAGGAAAAAAGAACAGATGAATGAATAGATCAGTGGTAATTGTATAGAGGTATACTTTTGAAAACGGCTATAAACATAGGTACACTTCCATGTAAATTATATCTTAGTAGAGTGAGTTGTTTTTTGCATTTTTGGTACTGCTGATTGAACCCAGGGCCTTTGTACTGAGCCAAACCCCAGGTCCCCTTTTTAATTTGAGACAGGGCCTTACTAGATTTCTCAGGCTAAGTTCAAACTTGCTGTCCTCCTGCCTCAGCCTCCAAGAATTCTGGGATTATAGAGATGATTCTTTAGAAAGACTACCATATTAGTCACGTTCCTTGCTGAGGGACAATACCTGGCACCCATAACTTAAAGGAGGAGAGGTTTATTTGGTGCCCACTTTCCAGTAAGTTCAGTTTGGAGTTGGCCGGCTCCAAGGCAGAAAAGGCATGGTGGGTGGGCATAGCAGAGGAAATGTGCTCATCCCATGTCAGCTGGAAGCAGAGAGGAAAGGTAGGAGCCTGCAACAAGAATACACCCTCTCAGATCATGCCCCCAGCGATTCACCTCCAGCCAGGCTCCATCTCCCAATAATACCTGCAGCTATGAGCTCATCAATGAAGTGTGATGAGTATACCGATGAGTATAGCACACCCACGATCCAGTCTCCTTCCAGACACATGAGACTTTGGGGGGACATTTTATACCTAAACCATAACAATTACTGATACTAATGCACAGCAATTGTAATTCTCGTGCGTTACCAGTGATACTGTACAATGATACAATTGCTTTGGGAAACTAGTACTTCTTGTAGTAGTTCCACGTTTAGTACTTATTTAAAAGAAATGAAAACGTTTATCTACAGAAAAGCTTATACAAGAATGTTCGTAGTGGCCTTATTCACTGTAGCCCACAATCAGAAATAGCCAGGCTATTTAACAAGAGAATCAATAAACAAATTGTACAGTTGTGCAGTGGAACTCTATTCTGTGAGCTCAAAGAATGTATTACTAATACATGAAACAAAATAATTGAGCTAAAAATATTAAATGGAAGAAGCTAGGCACAAAAATCGTGTATGATTATAATTATGGCACATTCGAGAATATAAAAGAGTAACTATGGTGATAGCAATCCATCCCAAGCTGCTTAAGAGCATAGGCATGGACCTCAAGAGGCACAGGGGACTTTCTGGCATGGTAGGTGTGTTCTGGGCCTTGATTACAGTGGTAGTTACATGAGTATATTGATCAAGCCACATTGAGTTGTATGCTAAAGATCTGTACATTTCTTTGTATGTAATTTTTACCTCAAATGTGCATTGCATGCAAATAACGTGGCAGCACCATATAACTAAAGTATTTGTGGCATTTTCTGTAAAATATTCAATGATGGTGAGATTCATGTAAGGACGAGAGAGACAGAATGATGATACTGAATAGTGTAATTGGAAAAAAGCCAGTATGTGGTACGTAAGGAGTTTTATTTCACTTCAAAGGCTGTATAAAGATAAAGAGCAAATACATTAAAACCAAACTGGGTTTCAATCCTGGTTCTGCCTATATGACCTTAACAAGCAGTTTAATTTATCCCTCTGTGCCACTTCTTCTATGTAAAACAACCTAAGGTTACAAGGTTGCAACAACTGTCAGTTACTTCATGCCAAATGCTTCAGAGTGTCTGGGCTACAGGAAGTATTCATGGATTATTTGCTGTTCTTGTATACTTTTCATTACTATCTTTATTTTTGCTTCTGCCATCTCCTTATTGTTACTATGAACAAAAAGTTGGCAGGGATATAAAGCCCTGTGTTTGCACACTGTACTGCCTTCATTCGCTCTCTTCTGCCTGTAGCTTTCAAAAAACAATTTGTACCTCGTACTGTACTGGTACCTGCTTGTCCTGTAAGATCATGCTGGGTATACTCTACCAGGAAGCTTTCCCCAGCTACCAAGTCAAACACACCTTTTCTAGCATCCTGTATCCACTTTCATTGGTGTACAGACCAAATTGTCTTATGGCTGTCTTCACCATTTTTTTCACATATGGTAGGTTTTGTGAGGTCAGATGTCATATCTTATTTTTCTTTGTGTTTGAATCGTGGTCTGGTACAGGGTAGTATTCGGCTCATTCTTGACTAAGTACATAAATAGCATAAAACCTTCCTATTACATGTTCCTTCTTGAGAGAGTTATTTTAAATAATGTCTGTTCATCTACTTTTAATCAATTTTGACTTTCAGATTTTTCTTCTCGGTATTATTCTGCTTCCACTTCGTGCTTTATTGGTGGGATTAATGTTATTACTGGCATGGCCATTTGCTGCCGTATCAACAGCATGCTGTCCTGAAAAGCTGACCCACCCCGTAAATGATTGGAGAAGGTAAGAAATAAGTATGTCCAAATATTGGGTAAATAAAGATTGAAAAAAGGTTTTATCAGATTCAATCAGAGATCAGTTTTAGCTACTGCTGCCTACTGAATTTTAATAATTTATTTGTATTTCCATGTAAAACCAGCCTTAATTTATGTAGAACTGATTGCACAAGTACATCCTGAAATCTATTCTAGTTGTAATTTTGTAATTTTAAAAGACTGTGCATTCTGTATAACTGCCAGAAAAATAGTACCCTCTTGTTCAGAAAGATACCTTTTTCATGTACCTGACATCACGGCTGTGACAAAATGCTTTATTTTCCATTTTCTGTTTTGTACTAAATTAGCAACATGCTTTCTTCGGTAATATAATTAAGTGAATCAATTATATTTATGTTAATTACTTCAGTGCTTATTACTAATGACAATTTAATTATTTATCAGCATAGCCTAGCTTTTTCCTATGTTAGTGTTGAAGCAGAATGAAATGGCTTCTCAAGCATTACCCAATTAGGATGATGTAGAGGCTGGTCATAAATGGCAAAAGTCATTCCTATTGGGCAGAACCAAACTGTTGCCATCAGTAGGTCTTGACATTGGGGCTTTTTATTCTGGGCACTATGGATGTCCATAGATTTGTTTCAGAGCACTAGCGAATTCCCTGAAGTTATGCATAATGTTTTTTCTTTTCATAAATTTGTGTTTCTTTTATCTAAGTCTCAACTACGGATATGTCCTCCAATCTTTTTTGAGAAGTACCATTCTAGAAACTTAAAGGAAATGTACAGTTTGCTTTTCAGTTCATGTTCTAGTGAACACATGTCTCCATCAGACACAAAGCTGGCTTGAAATGGAAATAAATCCAATACTGGCAATGCCTCAGAGAAACCTCAGTCCTTGCAAATCATACTTCTTTGTATTATAGCTCAAAGTTGTGCAGTATAAAGACAATACTGTAAGGGATGTTTTTTGTGATTTGCCAGTTTCTTTCAGATTATCTCTGTTTTCTACTCTTAGTGGTTTATGAAAACCTAGGATGATGGGAGGAATACCCTGTGTATATAGAAAATAAATAGAATAAATGTTATGTTTTTTTTTATTTTTTTATTTTTTGGTTTTTCTCTGGTACCGGGAACCGAACTCATGACCTTGCGCTTGCCAGGCAGGTGCTTTGCCGCTGAGCTAAATCCCCAGCCCCGAATAAATGTTATTTAAATTTTACTCTTTTCAATTAAATTAGTATCTCTGTCCCCTGTCAAATATGTTGAAGTTATATGGCTCCAGACTTTTAGATTTTTTAAAAAATTCTAAGTAGAAATGCTTACTGTGTCTGAATATGGGATATTTTGAAATATAGTTGAAATTCAGTGAGTGTTTTTGTCTATTTATAAAGGGAGATCTCATCTCTAAACTAAAGGGGAAGAAGGGGAGGTACATTTCTCTGTGCCCTCTGAAATGTACTTTGGTTTTCTGTGTCTCACTTCTTCTTGCTGTGAAATACAAGTCACAGAAACTTCCTCAGAGCCCAGTAGCTGATAGCTCCTTCCTCTATGATTTCAAGAATGCCTAGATAATGAAATAAGAAGTGTAATATTTAGAATTCTTATTAGCTACCTCATGGGTGATATACAGTTAGCTCTCCATTTCTCTGGGTTCTGCATCTGTAGATTCAACTAACTGTGGATCAGATATTTGAAAAAAAATACATTTGCAATGAATATTGAATTAATCAGCTTTTTGTAGCTGGGAAAAAACACTAAACATCTGCAACTTGAAGAGAGGTTTATTTTGGGTCACAGTTCCAGTGGGTTTAGTCCATGGTTTGCTTACACCAAGACCGAAAAGACATGGTGAAGGACATGGCAGAGGGAAGCTGCTCAACCATGGCAGTTGGGAAACAGAGAGAGAAGAGAGGAGCCTGGGACAAGAATACTTTTCTCCAGGTAACACCCCTCCACCCAGGCCCCACATCATACCAGCATATTCAGCTGCTGAACTGAATATGTAGCATCATCATGATCCAATCATCTTCCAAAAGCTCCACCTTTGAACATGAGGCTTTTGGATGCAAACCATAATAAACATGTAGACTTTTTTCTTGTTATTATTCCCTAAACAATATAGTATAACACCTATTTACATAACATTTACATTACATTAGCTATTATTTGAGTAACCCCACATGATTTAAAATCTCTAGGAAGACGTGCATAGGTTATATGCAACATTTCTTCTGTGAAGAATTTAAGCAACACAAGATTTTGTTATCTGCCAGGGTTCCTAGGACTAATTTTCCACAGATACTAAAGGATGGCTGTATATATTTTACTTTACTTTTCCTGAAAAGCCATGTGATTATTCATACACTGAGATATCCATTGGATTTTTGCACTTTTAGTAGTGTTATGGCTTGTGTCTAGATGTCCCTTGAAAGCCTTATGGGGTCATAGGGCTTTTTCATAGGTGACTGAATCTAGAATATGCAATTCATTGGTGATGCAATGCTGGGATTAACAATTCTAGGATTAAGGGTGGGTGGTTGCTGAAGCAGTTCACTGATTGAATTGGCACCACCCTAATCCCAGTAGACTGGATACAATATAAGGGGCACAAGGAGTCTTGTCTCCCTTCTTGCGTGCTGCTTTTGCTGTCTTCTGCTGCCATGAATGGTTGCCCTCTGCCATGTGCCACCTTGCCTTGGAGCCAGCCACTTATGGACTAAAACCTCCATGAACTGTGAGCTAAATAAACCTTCCCCCCTTGAATTTGGGGTATCAACTATTTTGTCTCAGCAGTGAGAGAAAAGTAACTAAGATAAGGAGTATGTTTTGTTTCCCTACTTGATTGAGGTTATCAAATCAGAGACTGGACCTTCTCCTGCATGTCCAGCACAGTTCTTGGCACACTTTGATGCAGTACTTAATCTTGCATGGTAGAATGTTTTAAAATCTTGTTAAAAAGTAAATATCTAGATTTCTGGAATTGCTCCAGTACTTCTCTGTTCCATGGAAGTGAGATGGCGAATTTACTTCTAAAGATTCTTTATGATGTTTAAGAGCTATAGTAATATAGATAACATTTCCTTCTAAAAATTATCCCTAAAGTAATTCTGTGTGAGAATACTAAAAATGTTTGAAGACATAGGGACCTGCTATTATACAAATGTAGCTCTGCAAGATGACTACTTTAAGGATGTTGCAGATTTGGATGTCTTGGGGTGGGAGGGTGTGTTTTGAAGATTATTCACTGTTATCATTTTGTGATCAAAGAAAAATGGGCCCCATATCTCAGGAAAATTACTTTTTTGTACCTCAACTTTCTCATCTGCAAAATGTGTATAATAATATATAATGCATATGTCATAAGATTAAGATCAAGATGAAAACGTTAATATATGTAAAGCATTTAATAGTGCCTTGCATCTAGCAGAAAGAGCTCTGTGTGTCAGCTAGTATTCTCCTTAGCTCATATGTTAGCATGAAATTCTTTGACATGTTTTGGTTTTCTTATTGCAGTTTAGAAGCAATAAGAAATTAAGCCCTGCTGCTAGCTTCAGTTAGTAAATCTAATTATGTCTCTCCTATACTTATTTTCAAAGGAAAATTACTCAGCCAGCTTTGACGTTTCTGGGTCGTGCCATGTTCTTTTCAATGGGATTTCTCGTTACTGTGAAGGGAAAGATCGCAAGTCCTTTGGAAGCACCAATTTTTGTCGTTGCCCCTCATTCAACATTCTTCGATGGAATTGCCTGTGTTGTAGCTGGGTTACCTTCTCTGTTATCTCGAAATGAAAATGCACAGGTCCCTCTGATTGGCAGTAAGTGCTTGTAAGATAACAGATAAAATATTTGTATGCTGTTGCTTTAAATTAATCATATATGGTTTTTCATAAACTTTTTAAAATTTAAAACAAAACATTAAAATTTTTTTAAGATACCATATGGAAGGAATGAATTAGACTTTCCTTCTCTGTAGCTTCATCATACTTTTTCAAACTTATCTTTACCGCTATACTGACTGTTTTACCTTTCTTTTCCTGTTTATGGCCAGGATGACCAGTTTTCAAATTCTGAACATGTTTGATTCTTTTTTCTCTTTTCTTTTTTGGAGAGAGAATTCAACCAAAGAATCTGTGAAAAGCCCAGATTACATGCTGTTTCGTGAACTGCTCTTGGGGGTAGTTGGCTGATAAATGTACTAAGTCTTTTCTCCTAACTGTGTTTTCTTCATTATTGCCCTCCAAATCTCCATGAGGGACCTATGTGTAACTCTTTGAAAATTATGATGTGGAACAATAAGTGCTTCCTGCCATAAAAAATAATGAAGCAAGTAAAGTGTTTTTTCTACCAGATGCTTTGGTTTCTCCCTAAGGAACTTGTCTCCAAGTAACTGCTCCCAGATGCCCCGGGGTTATTGCAGAAGTTGAGTGAGGAGAGAGTGGGTGTGAAGGCTGCTCAAGGCTGTCTGATGTGGCCTTGGTGCACTGCAGAACTGCTAGCAGTCCTTGCAGCTTTGTCATTCAGCCTGGACACATTTTTTCTTCCATGTAACTACTGTGCATTCTCTAATACGGCTTTTTCCTGAAATACTGTGTAGCAACAGATCTTTGCTAAACTGAAGTTTATTTTGTATGTGCTAGGAAGCTATGCAGAAGATTGTTATGCTAAAATCTTAGTAAGATGAGTAGTAATTGCCTCTTATGTATAATGTCAATTCACAAAATCATTTTTTGGGATATTCTTAAATTTAAACAAGATACTCTTGTAATGTTTAGTGTAAATTGAGGAAGAGGATGTTACAGAGAAATTAGGCATTTGCTTCTTTTCATATTTTTACTGCCTACTTCTGTTAAATTAGTGAAATATTTTGTGGGTAAAAAGGTCCACCTCTCCTTTTGAAATTAGAAACTAATTTCTAATAAACTTGGAGTGTTTGTTAATTGTTCTCTTTATTTTGCTATTATTTTAATTTTCCATAAAATTTGTTTTATGGTTTAGTGAATATTATTGCCACAGTGGCTCTAGCCAAAAAGTGACTTGTGATTTTTTAATTTGTTTTAAAGGACTGTTACGTGCTGTGCAACCAGTATTGGTATCCCGTGTAGATCCAGATTCCCGAAAAAATACCATAAATGAAATAATAAAGCGAGCAACATCAGGAGGGGAATGGCCCCAGGTAAAATACAGTAGGCAGTTACTTAAATATATTAAGAGTTTATTGTACATCCACAAACTTATTTAGATGCACAGACAAACATATCTGTGAACACCTGCAGTAGGTATCTTCAGTGTAAGGGATGCAGAATAAATAAATGAACTAGAGAGTATTATTAACAAGTCCTCTTCCTATAAGATACTGTACTCCATGGATTTAAATGTATCATTCTTTTTGTTTAGCACACTTTTTGAACCAATTTTTACTTTGTTGCATAAAAGTGGTCCTTTCTGACTTTAATTACCATTAGGCAATATGAATATATCATAGAATTTAATATATGAGATACTAAACTCAACAAATCACAACAATAGTTTGGGTTTACTGGAAAAGTAATTAAGATCTTGAATCTGTTCTGCAGCATATTTAGATAACACTTTTAAGTTCCATATTAAGATCACCCGTAAAAGTTTATCAGCAAACTTTTCCATCACACCACCTTCTACCTGGAATAACTTTTGAGTATAACAAAGGACATTGTTTAGTACATAACAAATCAGGGGTGGTTCTTTTTTTTTGGTTTTTCTCCAGTATCGCGAATTGAACTAAGGACCTTGCACTTGCCAGGCAGGCGCTGTGCTGCTGAGCTAAATCCCCAACCCCCAAATCGGGTGGTTCTCATAAGTATCCCTCTACATTTGCCCCAGATGAAAAGGAGTGACCTCTAGCAAACTAGTGGCCCTGCAGTGACCTGGCCACCCGTGGTAACGTGGACCTTTTAAAGTAGCAGAAAGAATATGATCAACCAGGAAGTTTTAGAAACTAAGGCATGTGAGGAATTATTTAAAAATTTATTGAGGAGGATTTGCATTTGGACTGAGGATTTGTAGATCCAAAAATACTATGTCTATAAAATTATTAGGTAGGAAATAATATGTAAATAGATTTCAGTTCATTTTGCTAATCTTAAGAACTTTCTGTTCACAGACAGAATGGTCTGATTTGAAAAGCTTTTCTACAGTATTCAGGATGAGCAATCACTTGGGTGTGGGAGCTATTATCCAAGGAATTCAAATATTAAAGCTCTTAGGTGACTTTTAATGCCTCTTCCAGCACTGAGGTTTTATAATTCACTTTAGACACGTTCATTGTTAGCATAGCGGTAGAATATCTGCTGAGTAAAACATTTGTTATTTTATCTTATTGTCATAGGAAACCATTTTTTAATTGGAGGATGGAATTACACCTATTCATAATGTTTATTTTACAAACATGTAATTATAGTGATTTAGCCCAATAAAGTTTCCCTCTCTATTACAAAATATACATTACTCACTTCTGTGAGTGCTGAGTGCAGGGACTTTATTTTGATTTTATATACTGAGCAGTTTACTCATAGCCAAATTTTAAAAGCTTCAAAAACCAAGCTGCTATCTTATTTAATGGAGAAACTAACCCTACTACATGTCTTTCACATGGACAACATAAAGAAGTACTGTTATAGCTTGGTCCTTGACTGCTTTGAAACTTTTTGTATTTGGTACTTGGTGCATTTTGACAAGGAAATTTTGTCCAGGTACTAGGGTAATTTGTTTGGTATTTCATTCCCAAAGGAGAACGCGTCAGTGTGACTCCCTGTGACTTGCTTCCCTTAACAGCCAAAACAAGTTATTTGAGACTTACTGTAATTGGTATTTGTTGTGCTTCCCGGAACCAGCTAATTTGCACCGAGGTACAATGGTGTTTTATTTTAATTTTAATTTTTTTTTTTTTTTTTTTTTTTGTACCAGGAATCAAACTTAGAACCTTGTGCTTGCCAGGCAGATGTTTATGCCACTGAGCTATATCCCCGGCCCTCCACTATATTTTAAAAGCTAAAACATTTCCTCAAAAAAGAGATATTAAATTGTATTACATATGTTAATGAATTCATCTAAGCATGAAACACATTGCAAACATTTTCTTCTTTATTGGTACGATGTCCCTCATCTGTGAGTGGTGGGATCAAATATCATCTAATAGAAAAATTGAAACAAAATCAGAGATTATTTGGTAAGGGATATACAGTAATATAGTATATCTAATGTGTACTTTGACCATGATTTACACTGTTTTATATCTTCTTTTATGTTTATTCAGATCATTAATAAAAACATTATTAAGAAACAAATGTAGGGGCTGGGGATTTAGCTCAGCGGCAAAAGTGCCTGCCTGGCAAGCGCAAGGTCGTGAGTTCGGTTCCCGGTACCGGGGAAAAAAAGAAAACAAAAAAACAAAAAACAAACAAACAAAAAAGAAACAAATGTAGTATATTTGTAGATTAAGTATACTCCCTATTCAAAGCTTTGATCCATTGTGTAATTAATGATCAAACTACATTTCATTTAGGAGAAAATTGAACACAGTAATATTATTTCACATTCGTTAGAATCAAGTGTTGGTCTTTTATTTCATCTTTGTTTTTTAAGCATTGGCAGCTATTGGGGAAGCCATAGGAAAGCAAATAAAGAGGTAATCTATTCATTAGACTGAAATATTAAATCTATTCCTTTTTTCCCAAGATACTAGTTTTCCCAGAAGGTACTTGTACTAATCGTTCCTGTTTGATTACTTTTAAACCAGGTGAGATAAATTAAATTATGTATTGTAACAATATGGAAGATTTCAAAAATGATTGGGTAGCAATACAAAAAATAACTCCGGTTTTCTCTGAGCATTTCTTCGTTTCTGATGAAAAGGTTTTAATATTGTGATTCTACAGAACTTACTCTTTCTTCCTTTTTGGATGTCATAACCCCTTCCTCCTTAAAGTGTCCTCTCTCTGGGTGTGTGTGCATGTGTGTGTGCATATGTGCGAGCATGCGTGTGTGTGTGTGTGTGTGTGTGTGTGTGTGTGTGTGTGTAGAAACCATATTTTTCTTGTCCTCCAAGAGACTGTTACAGATCCCTGGGCTAGGTTATGAAGTAGAAAACCTGTTTCATTATGATTTATAATATCTTCAGATGCATTCCAAGGTTGACTCTCTCTTTAACATTAGGAAGGCAATCCAGAATGCCGCCTTCAGAATGCCACCTTCATCGTAACTTTGTAACACTTCAAAATGTTTTTCTTTGTTGCCAAAGTTATGAATCACTTCCAGATAGTGTGGGAACTTTTGCTTCAAACTTTTGCTTTCATGTAGATATTCTTTTGGTCATTTTATCAAGTTTTTAAAAATCTTAATAATAGGTGTTTATAAAATGGCAGCAAGTGTTAAAATAAATATTCAAGTGGCTTAGGTGTAGCTTTTAATATTTTCCTTAAATAATTATCAATTTTAAATATTTTTCATTTTGGAAAACACAACATTTAGCAAATAATTTCTATTATGTATACTCTTAAACATAATATAAGGTGTATTTATATTATGTATAATTTTTTTTCTTACTGTAAAGTTTTCATCCATGTAAAAATCATGCTGTAAATTTCAATGTGGTTATAGGAGCCTTCATTCCAGGAGTTCCAGTACAGCCAATCCTCCTCAGATACCCCAACAAGCTGGTAAGCATCGTATTCTACCATGGAGAGAATTCTGAATATTCCAAGTAATACATGTTGTCTGGAGCCCGTTTTAATATTTGAATAAGGGTATGAATAGATAAATGGTAGGAGACTATCAGCAGATTCACTCTGCTTGCCATATGCAGGTTTTAAATTTTTGGAAGATAGTTGTTCATATCAATACTGTTTTGCTATGGTTAAGCTTCGGGAAAATATTTCTCTGCCTCTTGTATCACTGTGATAATGAGATTAAGTCCTAGATTTAGGGTCTTATTAGACTGGATGGTAGAAATTTGTAATTTTAATTAAACCTACAAGGAAACTTTTCCTAATTCTGAGGTCATTATTTATGGAGAAGGACTGAAGTAGGAGGATAAATTTGGGAAAGGGTCCATCCTTAATTTGTTTCAGTAATTCCTCTTTGTGTTACCTATTGGCAAGTAGTTTAAGTAAGAAAATATCTGCAAGAGCTAACATGATACATAAAGTATTTTGACTCACAAAAGACTCTCTTTTGCACAAACTGGCCACATTGTTGTCCCCTGAATAGTGATTGTATCACCATTTTCTCAGAAAGATTTGTTGGGGAATGTTTTGTTTCTGAAAGGACTTTGTTTACGAGAGAATCCATATTAAAAGGCAGGATGTATTTGTTAATCATCTATGTTATTTAAAGGTAAGAAGAGCTCTCGATCAATTCAACTTTCTGTTCAGTGGCTGCTTTCTCAATTTTGGACATCTTTGGTTAAAATTTATTATCTATCAAACCTTTACTCTCTGTACCTCCACCAAGTAACCTTTTATAAAGAACTGATGTATTTTTTTTTTCTTTTTGTAAACAAGTTAATTTTCCAGTTCTGTTCATATTGGTAGAAAAATAGCTAAGTATGTGCTGTAGTTTTTAAGAAATTCAGAACAAGTGCCCTTAAAAGATAGTGGCATAGGAAGGTAAATCTTTTTTATGTAGATACATAATCCTAGAATTTATAGGTCAATTTATCAATCTTTAATAATAATGTAGTTAATTTAATTTTCTTTCTTTTTTTTTTTTTTTTTTTTTTCCCGGTACTGGGAATCAAACTCACAACTTTGCACTTGCCAGGCAGGCACTGTGCCGCTGAGCTAAATCCCCAGCCCCTAATTTAATTTTCAACATTTTGCTTTTTTCATTTTTCATTTTTTATTTTTTTAATTTTATTTTAAAGAGAGTAGTAAATGAGAAGAAAAAAAGAACAATAGCAGCATACCAGCATCATAAACGTAAACAAACCAAAGCAAGAACATTTAAAGTGATACAGGGTTTCAAGACAAAATAATACAAACTAACAGTGGTTGTTATATTACAATATGCAATATATAATATAACAATGTGTAATATAACATGTTGCTTTTAATTTCAAAAAAGGTATACATGAATCCCCATCTTAAAATAAGATCTTTGTTTTATTTGATATTTACCCTCTGGACCAACAGCTTAAATGCTTCTGTTGTAGGACACTGTGACCTGGACGTGGCAAGGATATACATTGTAAGTCACTGGTGATTATTATTAGTTTACATTAACTTTATTTTGATAAAAATATCATTTATCTCTCCTTTAAAACAAAAACCTTATTTTGATGAAAGTAAAGTTTCTTGTCAGAATCTTGTATATGGTAACTGGTACCTTTATAGAGAGCGTCACTGTGTGCCTGTTAACCCCTGCGGTCTCCTGTGTGGAGGGTTCTAGTCGTCTAGAATTCACATTCAGATGGGTCTCTGGGTTTTGTGTACAGTTCGTACGGAACATTTCAGTGACCTGTTTGATTCTGACTTGGATTTAATTTTGTACTTTCATTTCCATTGCAGATTTATCATCTGGTGTGTCTGTCTGTACTTTATATGAATTGATAAAAATCATGGTGAATGTTTACTCTTAAAAAAAATTATTACAGTAAAAGGCACATTGCCATTAGTCTTTCTCAAAACATGCCCCTGTGCTTTGAGCACATGTCTGTCTTTACCACTTTCTGAAGGTTTTTTTGAAAGTCCTCTTTGTGTCTTTCCGAAGTCTAATAAATAGGGTGAAGCTACTGCCAAGTGCTGGAAGAAAGGCAGGCTCGTAAAGACACTGCAGTGCCTCTCTCTGCCTTCTCACTGAATTGGGCACCATGCAGTTTCTGTCTCCTCCCCAAGAGTCAAAATAACTATGAAAGATGAATGTTTTGAATCAGTTCAGGACATTAAGGCAGCCACTACAGTGCAACTGAAGATAATGAAGAAAAAGGACACTTAGAATTGCTTCAGAAAGTGGCACGAATGATGGAATAAAGTATGTTTGAGGCCAGGAGTAGTATTTTGAGGGAGGTTGATGGTAACATGTCTTCAACTTTTAAAAAAATTAAACATTCCCTATATGTTTCAGTCATACCTTGTACTACATTGATGTATACAGTACAGATTAATTTTGTTATATGACCTGAAATAGTTGTGATGTGTCTGGTAGGAGCTGAGAAAATAGCTCACCAAGATTTCAGTCTGTTCTTAGATTTTAAAAACACAGAGATCAGCAGTTTCTGTAAGCACTTAAGAGAGGAGAGGAATATGGTTTCACTATTAGATAAGCTGATAGGAAACAGCCTTAAAAAAAAAAAAAAAAGAGTATGTGGAAGCAAACTTTCCTCTTATAACCTTGTGTTAGTTCCCAGTAGAGAAGTGTGAGTTTGTTTAAATTTTGGTGAAAACCATATGAAACACCTGGGTTTGAGGACTTTCCCCAGTGCTCAAACATCATTTTGGGTAGATAGGTGACAATATGTTGGAAATATTTAAAAGAAAATCATTTGCTTTCAAACCTACTGTGGGCTTCTGTAGATACCAATCAGCTCCTGAAAATCAGAATAAAATGCATAATTTCTCCTGTTTTGTGACTGTGTGAAAATTGCTTTGACATAATTTAGATCAAAATGGGTAAATAGAATAAATAATAACACATGCGACATATTTGTGTTCCTGTTATGCTTCAGTTCTTGGTAATTTACACCTTTAATTTAAGGGAATACCAAAAATAAAAGAGCACAAACTGTAAAAGGTGTGGAATAGTATTTTTTTTTTAACTCTTTAAGAAATCAGCTTATTCAAAGATGTATTGGCGTGTATCTTTCATGCAATACTGACTTTGAATGTCTGGCTTTCAGTTTTTATATAGAAGAAAACAAGGAGAAACAAGTTATATGAGAGCTTTTTAGAAACAAAGGTGCCTAAAAGCTAATTGAGTGCATATTTGTGTTTCCTGGTGTGCATCATCCTTTGGTCTTTACAGATCACAGTCCCTTTGGAGACGGTGTGAGTTCACTGTGACATTTTTTTTTTTTTTGGTTACATAGCAGTTCAGGCAGATGTGGAGGTCAAATAAAAGGTGACTTTTTGGAAGGAGGACTAGGGCAGAAAATAGAGTGGTTTATTTAATCTATCCTAGAAGTGTGTGATAAAGAGAAAAAAAATCAGAAAGAAAATTCAGGAGAGAGAAAAAAAGATATTTCAGGAGTCAAAGATTTCTTAGGATTTAATAAACAAAAATTCTCTAAGAGGCATAGCTTTGTTTTGTCCAAATGCCACATGGCATTCACCTAGGCCACGTCTCATCGTCTCATCTCTGCCTTTGTCTTGTGGCCTATTTAATGCTAGTGTTAGCACAGTGTCTATTATTTCTAATTCCATTCCACTGTTGTCTTTTCTCCAGCTGCTCTTTAGATGCAGATTCTAAGAAAGAGATTTTAAATCAGAGTATGCATTTGAAGGGAGTGGCAAGTCAGGGAATAAGCTTAGCAACAGAGTGGCTGTGAAAAAGCTGTTTCCCATCAGCCTAAGAAATGGTAGATTTGTCTGTAGGCAAACAAGACAGGTTTAATGACATCTCATGCAAGGTTTAATTTATTTTTTTACAGCATTCAGAATTGGCAGAACCAAATATGTATCTGTTCAAGTAACTGAATACCAAAGCTCAGTTTAAATAATTCAAAAACAGTGGACTGGATGATGGATAATGGGGTTGAGCTTGATTGGAGGCTATAGACAGTAAAGGATTTTTTACTCCCTCAGATGGAGAGTTTGAAAATATATAATTAAAGCCAGGTGCAGGAGTATGCACACGTAATTCCAGCTCCTTGTGAGATTGAAGCAGGAGGATTACGAGTTTGAGGTTAGCCCAGACAACATAACAGAACCCTATCTCCAAAGAAATTGTAATTCATTATGGAAGTGGTAAATTTATTTATTTAATTTATTTTTAAA